CACTTGATTTCCACTTCTCTTGTCTTTCCTTTTCACATTTTTTGCAGGCGGATAGGAGACGAGGCAAACATTTGAGGATGCAACCGTTCTGCCTATGGACTTAAGGATGGCTAATTCTTCCACAGTAGTATATTAAGAGACCTCACAGTTTGGGTGGAAATTAGACACCTAGCTAGCAAGCCAGTTAGCTAAAGTGCTGGTGAGGTAACTCACATTATCATTAGGAAAATAGAAGTGTTAGTTCAGGATAATGATTACTTTCCTTTAAAATACTAGTGTATTACATTAGGAGTGCTCAGTATAACTGTTATCAACAAAAATGTGAAGACGGCTTTACCCAGAGAGTACACCAGAGTAAGGCTGGCTTCACACAGTGAAACTAGTAGCATGTTGTGAATTTCATGCAACTTAATTTCTGTGCAACTCGACCGTTACACAAAGCAATACAACACAAAGTTGCATACAACACATTTAATTACTCTAAAGGTGTTAAGCCAGCCAATTACAGAAACGTTAGCTCGAGACACTACAAACTTGTTTCCAAAAAAAGTTGGGACTCTGTGCAAAATATAAATAAGAACAGAGTGCCATGATATGCAAATAAAGTAAATTGAAAATTTATTTATATTTAATTTATATTTATTTATAAAATATATTTAATTGAAAACAGTACAAATACAACATATCAAATGCTAAAACTGATACATATTTTAAGACGTTGTCTGGATGGCAGCATATGTTGCCAAAACCTGTATATATCGTTCAGCATTAATGGTGTCTTCACAGATGTGCACGTCACCCATGCCATGTGCACTAATGAACCCCTGTACCATCACGAATGCTCACTTTTGAACTGTGTGCTGATAACAAGCTGAATGGTCTTTAGCCCAGAGGACACAGTGTCCATGATTTCCAAATAATTCAAAATAATTTCCTAAATGAGCTCAGGCCCAGAGAAGGTGGTGGTGTTTCTGGGTCCTGTTTATACAGCATTTCTTCATTATGAGTTTTAACTTTTGTGGATGTGATGACAGAATGAGTTGTTTCTTTTAAATGCAGTGCTGTCTTAGGGCCAGATGATCACAGCCAGCCAATATTGATTTTTGACCTTGTCTCTTGCATACAGAAATTTCTCTGGATTCTCTGAATCTTTTAATGATATTATGTACCATAGATGACGAAAAGCAGAAGTTCTTTGCTATTTTATGTTGAGAAACGTTATTCTTGAATTGTTGCACTATTTGATCGTGCAGTCTTTCACAGAGTGATGAACCCCTTCCCATCTTTACTTCTGAGAGACTCAGCCTCTCTGGGAGGCTCTTTTGTACTCAATCATGTTACTGACCTTTTGCCAATCAACCACCAGGTGTTTTTTTAGTTAGCATTTTACAACTTTACTAGTCCTTTCTTGCCCTGTCCCAACTTTTTTTATACATGTTGTTGGCATCATTCAAAACAAGTATATATTTGTAAAAAACAATAACATTTCTCATTCAACATTTTGTATGTTGTCTTTGTACTACTGTCAATTCAATACAGGGTTTAAATGATAAGCACATCACTGCATTCAGTTTTCATATACATTTTGCACAACGGTTAAACTTTTTTGGAAAGAAGGTTGTAGTTTGTTTGTTGTCATTGTTCAGGTAACTGACAAAATGACAAACTTACATAAAAGTTGTTCAGGAGGATCTTTTTCCCCAGTTGTCCAGTAAACCATCTTCTTTATTTTCTTGTCCATTTCTCTTGTGAAATCGGTCATTTGAAATTATGTCGTTCATCCTGTCGACACCTGCAATTGCTGTGGCTGTGTGCAACTGAGTTTCAAGTGAATGGCTAGATACTTTACATTGTGCAATTCGGGTGTTTAGTTTCATGCAGGTTTCACAGTGTAAAGTCAGCCTGACAGTACAGCACTGCAACACTCACGGGATATTCTGAAACAAACTGCTTTGGGGAAACTAGATGGCAACAAAAGTTATTCTTATGCCCTGTAGTGTACAGTGAGGCTGATAATACTCTTAAAGGTGTTTTTTTTTATATAAAATGGTCCATGTGTCTCTTTTCTGGAGGATTTCATACAGTTTAAATGTTTATATTCTTCAGTAATTTAGTGGCAGAGTACACAGAGCAGTTTGGAGGGGTTTTATTGTCTAGATTCCTCCAAAGTGGCTCAAATAAAAGTAATTAAATCCATTCGCTTCCAAAAATATATTGAGACATTTTTTCCCCCTTTAAACTGGGACAATGTCCAGCTGATCTTTTCCGTATTATCTTTGGTCAAGCCCGTGATTGGGCCAGCAAGCAGTGGAGGAATGCTTTTATTTATGCTTTTATTTATTTATTTACAGAGGGGGAGACTTGAGCAAGAGGAAAAACAAGTCTTACTGCATGAATGCCTAAGATTGCTGCTCCCACACCACCACTTATCCACAAAGCATGACTCGACCTTGCTGGGCTTAAAGCAACAGTTTGGAGAAAAATCTAATTTACTCAGTTTCCCTCTGATCCCAAATAGAGGATCAGCATGTTTGGTGTCTTTAATTTTACACTGGAGCTGTGAGGCTACTGTAGTGGAAGCTTATTAGCACACACCTAAATTGCCACACACTTGCCTCAAGCTGAAGTATGTCACATAGCTATACAGAGTCTTGAAGCCTGAAATTTGTCCGTACTTTTGTTCATATTTATAGACAACAGTTTGCCATACAGTGTTGGAAACACATAGGCAAGACTATTTAAGATAACTTGACAATTTGAGACAAATGAGTGATGATTTAGTTAGCACCATGCTAATATGCTTCCAGTACTTGTTAGCTACATTAGCCTTGTAGCGACAGCGTAAAAATAAAGAAGCGAACTTCAGACACCAAACACATCCTGGCTGATTACCTACATTTGTTGTGTGTGTGTGTGGGGTGGAGGTGAATAGGAAAGCATTTTTTGCTATGACTTTAAACACCAGAGACAAGTCTGTTTATCAACACAGAGCCGTTCCTCACTAGCGGAAATGAATCTGGAGCGTGCTACATAAACCCACTGACTCCAGTTCTGATGAGAAATCACCCCTCTGGTGAAAACAGTGCATGTCCAATGGCTTTATTTGTGGATTTAAAGTGTTCATGTGTGAGTAACGCCAGAGGAAACTAAAGACCCACAGAAGGAAAAGGAAGGCAAAACAAAACAACATGCTGAGTGAATGTTTTTACATCAGGGAACATTCAACTGACATCAGAACAGCAGAAACAGCTGTTTGAAAAAGTCCAGGACCTATTCTTTAAAGACGGACACTAAGCTTATTCTGATATATATACACCAAAGAAAGTTTTGTAGTACATAAGGAAAGATATTATGTGCTAAGATGAGCTTATTTATTAATCAGGGACAATAAACATTAATCAACATGAATGTGCTAGTGTTAGCCAACTGGCTAATTTTCAACTACAGCCCCTGAGCCCTGGTGCTATAAGCCAATTTATTTGTTATTTATTATTACTACCTTTAAGCACATTCATTTCATTCATTTTGTAACCTTCTTGTTTTTATGTTCTATGCCATTTTATTTTTATTCTGAAGAAATCTGAGCTGTATTACATGTATGAAAGTTGACAAACATACAAAAGCTTATTATTTACTATTAGAACTGCTTAAATGTCAAGGGGCCATATGTAAGCTCACAATTTAGTTCCTCACACTCAACTCCAGAACATACATGTTCTATAGGTATTACTGAATAAAACATTCATATTCAGTCTGTTGTCACACTAAGATTAATAAGAAATCTAGGGTTCAAGGGTTAAAGTTCACATACAGACAAAACTAGCATTATAACAAGCTGAGTGGAATCTGATGTGCACCCTCTAGTGGCATTAAGCAGAAGTGTCCACTACTGCACATTCTGTTTATGTTCCAGTCAGTCATATTGACCATAATGAGCAACACAGATTTCACTCACAGTCCAGTTTGTATGACTCTTTTATAGCTACTGTAAACACCATCAAATCTGGAAGGAAACATTAAAAAGGCAGTGAGAACAGTTTGTACTGATGACGAGTTACACTCCAAAAGGGAGATTAAAGCACACATCCTTTTTTTCATTTCATTTTTCCTGCATTTTATTTTTTTCTTGTGAGGTCCACTTAATGACATTTGTGTGTTTAAGTACCAAATATAAATAAATTTTAAATAAATTTTTACATGCCTATTTTTTAAACCTTTTTTTATCCCTTAGAATTAAACAGGCTCTTTTGTTACTGTGGCCTTAGAACTGATATAGGTAAATGAGCTGTGTTCTTATCGGCTGGTCTGTATTGAGCCTCAGTCCAGGCTTAAACACTTCTTATAACAACATCAGTGTGAATGGGCGGGGCTAAACTGCTGAAGGCTTATAAGGTATGTATATGTAAATGCAATGTCTTTTGTGACATCACAAAACAGTAAATACAAAACAGGCTGTTTTTGCAGTTTAGCTTTCATATATGGACTGATAAGTGAACAGGATGTTTTGAATCTTTAACAGTGTTTACATACTACATCGTTTCTTGTTTTTTGTGATACGATCACAACAACAACAATAATAATCATAATCATAATCATCATAATAAATAACACTCATGCCCGTAACGGATTTTTACAATGTACAACTTTATTTTTAATGAACTCTCAGTGGTTGGTAGTCACAGCACAGCTTGCATGTAGGAAGCCACACGTCTATTTTACAACAAGAGGATGGGAAATTTTTAAAAAGGAGGAAAAAATAAACATTAAAACAAAACCGAAAAAAAAATTATAATTTTAAAACCTAAACCAAAAGAGGAGAGCTGACAGTCCAACAGCGACTTTTTTATCCTTCTTCTTCTCTCAACTACAGTATTTTTAAAAGGCCACTGAAATGCATAAAGTTCATTCACTCATTCTTTTCCGATGCACGGACTTCCTCTGACACGGTGACCAAAAGTTTGCTTTAAAAGAAAAGAAAAGAAAAGAAAAAGGAGAAAAAAATGGACAGCGAGACTCCTGGCATGGCATCATCGACAGTGCATGTAGACAATGTAAAAATAAAATAAAAATTAAAAAAAAGGGGCTGGGTTAGCGATACCTAGGCATATCCTTAGTGACAACACCTCGGCTAATACTAACAGCGGGGGGGCAGGGTAGAAAGAAAGAAAAAAAAACAGCACTCTTTCAAATATACGGAATACAACGCGTGTGAAAAGTAGTGAATTATATTATTCTTATGTCACAATTACCGTGAATATTTCTTTAAAACTTGAAAGAATGCGCTGAACACCTTGTAAGCTGTTCCCTTATTTTCATAGGGAGGCGCTACTGTTTATTCGATGTTTTCAGACTATAAAAGAAGAAAATAGTTAAAACACACCTTTTTTCAGTTTCGTTTCATCCTCTGGAGTTGGTAATATTTCAACAGTAACAGACAGAAAGCATGCCATGTGCTTGTCTCAAACAATACATACAGGTATATACAGCTTCACTCAGTACCTGCTAAAAACAACGTGAGGAATATAAACCATCGACTACACTACAAACTTAAAGAGGAGAAATTTGGGGTTGTAGGGGGAAGGAAGAGGAAGAGAAAGAGAAGGAAGAGGGGAGGAAAAAGTGACAGGAAGCGAGGAGGGTGAGCGATGGAAAAAGAGAAGTGAACATTTTCTATGTGAGATGGACTGATCTTTTAAAGCATTTTATTATTTAATGAAGAATAAGACGCGTATTGCACATTCAGTGAAAGCTTAAGATTCCACCTGATCCAAAAAAAGGGGGCGTGGGGGGGGGGCGGGGGTCGTCAGGGTGTGTGAGTATGTGCAGGAGCAGGGGAAAAGGTCAGGGTGTGTGCGCGTGCCAACACTGATGAATGCTGAGAAGTCCACTGCTGAGAAACAGTGCCGCCAAATCAGAAAAAGGGGGCGGGACTTACAGCATGGAAAGAGATGATTGGAGGATAGAGAGAGAGAGCGAGAGAGAGAGAGAGAGCGCGAGAGAGCGAGAAAGACGGGGAAAAAAAGAAAGAGAATGAGCTGCATAACATTTCTATGCACAAAAAAGACTAATAAAAAAATTAGAAAAAGCTAGCATGTGGCACAAATAAAAATAAAATGAGGTGTAACTGCTCTTCTGTGAAAGCCAAGAGAAAACGAGGAAAAAATAAAGAAAGAAAAAAAGTGTTCTGTGATTTTTTTGTTGTTTTTATTTTATGTACAGCTAAGGCTTTACTGGTTAAATAGTTCTGGAGGCTTTTTTTTTATCCAGGCCAACAATGCATCTGTGCCGTCAGCGTCTCTCGTTTTCTCTCAGCGATGTAAATGTAAACTCTGGCGCTGCGAGCGTGCACAGAAGAGCGGGTGGGATGAAGTGATGCAGATGGAGAGGAGAGGAGCGAGTGATGGTGGGGAAAGAAAGACAGAGGGATAAAGAGAAAGAGAAAAAGGAAATGGGGTACAGTGACCAGGAAGAAGGAGCCATCTCGTTGCTGATGTCTGCTGTAATTAATAATCTAGGGGGGGTGTAATACCAGACGCTGCCACTGGGGGAAGAGAGGCGCTGTTCTATTTGGAAAGCTTGCTAATGACTCGAATCAAAGCACCGTTCTCATCCTTCAGTCTCTGGTTGTCAGCTTTCAAGTCTGGTAGCGTCTGAAAGACAAAAAGGAATAAAGAAAGAGAGAATTTAGACAGATCTGAATGAAAAATCCAAATAAGTGGAGCCAAAATCAGCTCTAGCTCCTGATGGTGTTTGCTAGGGGTGTAAATAAATCTCTTATCTCAAAATCAATTGCGACTCTTTAGGAAACGATTCAGTTCATCACGAAATTTCACCACAAATCAGTTTTTCTGGCAAGGCTTTACACTACATGTTGGAACATTGCTGTGAGGATTTGACTGCATTCAGCTACAAGACCATTAGTGAGGTCAGGTACTGACAAGATATTGGATGGAGCTCCATCACTTCAGAGAACAGTTCCACTCCTCCACAGCCCAGTGCTGGGGGGCTTTATACCCCGCTTGCTGATGCTTAACATGGGGAATGGTGACCTTAGGCTTATGTGCAGCTGCTCCAGAGTGTTCCATAATGAAGATTATACAAGCTGTGAGCTCACAACTGAATGCTGGAGTCAGCAGTGGGCTCACCTTAAAGTAGCTGAATTCACTCATTAGAAGGGTTGTACGGAGACTTTTGGACACACAGTGTATTTACACAGTGGAATACAGACAATAAAAAACTATACATCAAGCTTTTATTTTGCTCATTATGCTTGAAATAGCCAAATTATTACTACTATTACTGTAAAATTTCTAAGCCTCAGTTACACATCGAACATGACGTCAGTAAACGACACGAAAAAGTGAAATATTCAATTATTCACATCAAAATGTAATGCATACTGAACCCCACCCTTTTTTTGGAATTCTGCTGTAAGTTCAGGCCAAGAAAAAAACAGGAAAACAGGCAGAATGTCTTGATGTTCACAGAAAGTGTCATTGGAATTTATTTTGGGCTGTTTTCAGTACAAAAATAAAGCCACACTTGAGCCGTTTTAGATCACTTCATAGCCCTGTCCTCTTCTACAGAGACTGGACTGTCTCATTTTATCCACATGTGCATCACTTCATAGCTTCAGAATGAACATTTATCTATGACAGTACAGAAAATGATGTGATAAAGCTGTGACTCAAAAGACATATCTGAAATAGAGGCTCCTCAATAGTAAAAAGCATGGAGTGGGTATTACTACTGCTACAATAAAGCTGCAATACAGTACAATAATTACAATTGTTTACATTATTTCAAACTATTATTTATTTATTCGTTTATTTTATAGTGATCAGTATTATAATGCATGTTTACTGTTTTTACTGTGCTGTTCTTTTGCTCTGTTCTCATCTCTAATTCAACAATATAGTTTACGCAAACAGCTCACAGTGGAGGAAGTCTGAAAGAGTAACTAAAATTCATTTAGTGGTGAAAATGTACTGTCGTACTGAATATTTGTGATGATTTATGTTCGTGTAAACAAGTTCACAAAAATTTGCTGGGCAGCTTCTCAAGCAGTTTGTCAGAAGTGACATGACTGACCTCACCTGGTTCCCCCTGGAAATAGCGAGATGGCTGGGTCCATTTTCTATATACTGTCAATGCACAAAATGGGCATATGGTAACACAGACAGACTACTTTCCATATAGTAAAAGTGAAAGGAGCTCACTGCCTCATTCAGGAGCTGGAACTAAAGATATGTGCCTCAGCTCGGATCTCAATAACGCTCAATTTTGTAGATGCAGCCCCACACGAGACATCCTATAACGTTCATCTAGTTCTGGTCGCCGGGGTACAGCTGACCAGTCGTACTGGTTGTCGTCATGTCAACAGCAGTGATTGGCATGTCGAATACAATAACGTTTTGTTTTCCCTATCTGAAAAATGGCGTTCGACGTGCACGATATCAACAGTTAAACACACGTTCCAATTCATTTATTGACATCCGAATAAACTGCATGAATAAATAGTGCTCGGCGTGCGGTTTCTGCGGTTTTACACCCCTAGTGTTTGCACATTCCTTTCCCCAACACTCTTTGTCAGACACTGTCACACACTAATCTCCACACACTGACAGCAGCCTGAACTACAAATCTAATCAGCTCACTGCAGGTCAATCCAAAACTCTGCAAAACACCAGCCATGCAAATCAGAAAGCTGCTGCAGTTCTCAAACCTAGAAGAGAAGAGGAGAAACTACTAATCTCTCTCACACACAAAATGCACACACTCAGGAGCTCAACACACCCACAAAGGCTTAATCTCTCTGACCGGAGAGCCTACAACAGAAGCGTAGAGTGGTTAAAGGAACGGTTCAGCCAAAAGCCAAACTTTCAGCACCCATCTTACCCCAAATGTACTTGATCAGCCAAGGCATGTTTGTCAGTTGTTTGCTGTAGTTTTACACCTGAGCTACGGGGATAAATCAATAGTAATAGCTAACAAGTAATGGAACATTTCAACAGCAGCAACTCCTGGTTGTGGGCAGTGTGGCAAAAATGACTATAATTAAAAATTTGGTTCCTGTATATATCACAGCATATATTTATATGCTTATTGGCAGTAAGTGTGTTTTTGCCAGTAAAAACACTATATAATGTTATAATAAATACCACTAACCATAAACACAGTAGCACATAAGAGTGTGTTGTTTTCTGCAGAACATAATAAAAATGTGTTGTTTTTATTAAAGTTATGAATATGCTGGTTTGAAGAACAGGTTTGGTTTGGCTACTACATTCAATCTGCAGCACCTGATTTAATTTAATGAATAACTGATTAGATACACCAGTTGTTGGATAGTAACTGTATATTGGACATTCTTGATTAGAACTTGGAAATGGTTAAGCTAACTCACATCACAATGGACTGTTTATTTATTTGTATTTTGTATATAACCGGCCATCTTTACATATCATTTTCTCAGATGGCGAAAACTGCACAGTACTGCATGCGCTAGCCTTGGTGCTATAACACAACAGGGGAAACTAGTGGGAATTTACTGCGACTAACACCGGCCTAAAGTGGCTTATTTAAAAACCCTTAAGCGCTTTTTCACCAACATGGTGAAACTCGAGCCCTGTCATAATAAAAAATACTACTATCCCTATTACAGTTTAGTGGTATAATCACACTGCAGCCTGCCAGCTTTGTCCCAGTGGGAGAATTATGAAGATGTTATAGACTGGAAAAATCAATAAAACGCTTCATAAAAACACACACACACACACACACGCTCCAAAACACAGCCAGAGGAAGTGAAAGTGTCCAAAAAGAGAGGAGTGGAGGGGAAAAAAAAAAAGTGACCGATTCAAGCTAAACAGATGAAACAGGATTTTGGAATTAAATCATAGTTTGGCAAAAATATAAATTTCCCCAGTTTTCTCCCTGTCTGACGTTTACGTCTTTAGTTTTACACTAGAGCTATGAGGCTAATGTAGCTAAGAAGTAATGGAAACTTATTAGCATCAACAATTAGCATGGCGCTAACTGTATGCCTAAATCATCGCAGTTCTGCCTCAAACTGTGTTGAGCTGTTAAGTAATTTCAATAGACTTTATGTGGCTTTTATGGTGGACAAAAGCATGCTAGCATAATTAATGTGTCCATCTTTTTGTCTATGTTTATAATGGTCTATGAGATTACTTGGTGCATGGTTTAAGAAGGGCGTGTGGTATTTTTGGCACAATTAGCGCCAATTAGCACCATGCTAATTCTTGATGCTAACAAGCGTCCATTACTTACTAGCTACATTAGCCTCGTAGCTCCAGTGTAAAACTACACAAGCAAACATCAGAAACCAAACATGTCTACAACTACAACTACATTTGGGGTAAGCGGGAAAACTGTAAAAATGTATTTTCTGCAAACTATTTCTTTAATTATCTTACCAAAAGTATGCCGAAAAAGATGCTGAAATAAATCAGCATGGTTGCCAGTTACAAAATTAGAATAATGTTGAAGCCATGCAGTTCAGAATAGCCTCAGGCTGGAAAGACACAGCAGAACCAGAACAAGATCCAAAAACAAAAGGAGGTTCTTTAAAATCCAAAAATTCAGACAAAACTGTCCAAAAGTCACCAAAATGCTTGCCAAGCACATCATGCAAGAAGCCAGGACAATCCAAAAGGAGCTACACTCCACAGCAAATCACTCGAGACTGGGGCAAAATCAACACAAAAAAGGAAACAAAATCTATAACAGTTCAATTTATTACTAAGAAACTGCAAAAACTATAAATTAGTTGCATTTTAATTCTATACTTATTTTTAAAATTTTAATATTTTAAATTTAACACTGTATATGTACATATATCCTTTTTGTTATCCAGATAAATACAACACACATACACTGACATTCAGAAGTTTGGAATCACTTTCTTTTATTATTTTGTAAACAATAATGCGCACAAAGTTAATTTAAATATTACACTTTAAACGACAACAGCTGTTTCTGGATTTTTTATTCAGCATCTCTTTTTATTATAATTTAATTCTGTATGTTAACTTTATTATAATCTCTGTCAAAAATTATTTTATTATAACCTCTTTCTGAATTAGTTTTTAATTTAATTTTATTATAACTTCATAACTTAATTCTGAACATTAATTTTATTAATCCCCCCCCCACCTCCAGAACCATGCTGAGTAATGGGGAGGGGAAGGGCCATCCTTTCCACCCAGAGAGAGTGAAACCAAGAGCTGTCCTGGACTTCTGGGCACAGATGGCCGTAGGGGATCTCAGAAGATTGAACTCGTGCAGGATTTTAATTTTATCAGAACCTCTTTCTGGATATGAATTTTAAAGAAAATCACTCTTGATGATCTACATTTTAGAATCATCTACAACTCTGTTCACTATTCTGAACTCAAGTAACATTTATTTTTGCTTATTTCTTTATTTATAGCTTTTGTTCTTAGTACTAATTGCAAGCTGTAAATCTGCATAGCACATTAGCACATCAGATACATTTGTCTGCACTGATATTATCGAAAACTGTGATTCCAAACCTTTGAACCATAGTGTGTACATATGTATTAATATGTATTTATAATAAGTTAATATAGGTTACATATGAGTATTTTGCATCAAAGTTTACATCTACTGAATGTATTTCTTGCAACGTTATCAGGATTTTTCTCAGTAATAATTGTACTGTAAATAAAAAGGGGAAAAACGTCCCCTTTAATAAATGCAGGGGATTTTCAGAGCGGGCGGAGTCACAGCTGGAGGAGGCTGGCACCTGCCTGTGTGTGAGGGCGGGTCTGAGGGTATGTGTGAGTGTGCTGGGGGTTTAGAGGTCAGCGGAGGGCGGCTGGCCGCAGCTCTGAGCGAGAGTGAGTCTGTAGAGCACTCGGGCCAGCGCCCTGTTCTCCGCCTGCAAACGCTCATTATACCCCCGCAGAGACTGCACCTGCTTTACCTCAGGCAGACTCTACAGAGAGAGAGAGAGAGAGAGAGAGAGAGAGAGAGAGAGAGAGAGAGAGAGAGAGAGAACGAGAACGAGCAAGAGAGAGACAGAGAGAGAGATGGAAGAATGGAGAGCGGAAATGTGGAAAGACGTGAAGGAGACAGCAGATACAGTTAAGGAAAAGAAGAAACAGGAGAAAAAAAATAAAAAAGTAAGAGATACACAGAGCAACAGGTCACGTGACCACAACATGAAGAAAGAAGCGAGGGTCAGAAAGAGCGAGGAAAATAGAGAAATGTAAGGAGCGAAGATTCAGTAAAAATTTCAACACAGCATTCAACAGTGCCACAACCCTTCAGCTGCACATGTATACCACACTCACATACACACACACATACACACACACACATACACATTCACACACACACACACACACACACATACACATTCACACACACATTCACACACACATACACAGGCCTTTTCAGGAACTAAACACAGAATGTAACAGCACTTTTGTTAACCCTCTAGGGTCTAAGGTCATTTTCTCGATTTTATCTTCTTAAATTCGCCTTTAAAGGCACTTGCATACAACATGATACCCATATGTTTCATATCAAAATGATCTTTGTTGCCACTTTCCAAAAACACTGCATTTCACATGTCTGCAATGTCGACTGAATGAAGAATGAAGGGTTTCTGGCGTGATGGGTCAGTCCTTGTGATTTCCCGAGTGTCCAATGGTCGGTTTCACATAAAATGCAGATGGACACAGGAATCCACCAATTACACACGCTGAGAGGCAGATGACGTGTATCTCAGCCCCTCTTCTCAGCCTCATAACCTAGATGTAAGTCATGTGTGATCTTGTGATAAGATGGAATGGAAAGTGCGATACAGATTCAGGAAATATTTGATTGAATATTTTGACCGGATTTCTGTGCTGTGCTCTCAAAGATAGACAAACATTTATACAAACATCGAATCTGATGCCTGGGTGAGTTCGCGAACCCCAGAGGGTTAACAGAAGTCACTTAACTTATGTGTACATGTTTACTCTTACTGTTGTCTTCTATAGGCTTACTCAGCTGCACGTTATGAAATATATGATATGAGTAATGTCTGCGCTTTGTGTATTTATCTCAAATAACTTTAGCACTATGGGAGCTGGATTAGTTCTAGCTGGGCTGTTTCTGTAATTTGTGCAATTAGTCACTGGATCTGGGTTTTAATCCACTATGAATCTACAGTGTGTACTTTTGACAGTCAGACAGTGATAACTGTTGGGTCATTTTAATCCAGTATGCATCTGTATTGGTTACAGTTTGACAGTAATAATTATGACATGATTTTAATCTGGTATGAATCTACAGGGTGTACTTTTTTCACTCTGACAATAAAAAATTGTTAAGTAATTTTAATCCAGTATGAATTGTAGTGATTACAGTCTGACAGTAATAATTGTGGAGTGATTTAATCCAGTCTGAATCTGCATTGTGCGTCTTTATACTTGAACTATATAAATGTTCTTCTGTAAATTAATTTGGAGCTCCCTCAGTAATAGCAGTCCTGTTCCAATCCACTTGATGCTAATGTAACATAGAACCTGCTTTTAGATACACTTTACCATTATTAAGTGTGACCTTTTAACCATTGGGAATTTGGGGAAATTACACACATAACTATCCCAAACAACTCAGCCAATCAAATCACACAAATTACATTACACAACTTCCTCTGGGAAACCTAATCCTGCTCTAATAGTGCTTATGTTAGTCATGTCAGTGCACACTGTGTTCCTGTCAATGTGATACTCTTTACTGACCAGTTTCCCATCAAGCCAAAAATCTAGCACCTAATACTTTCTGGCAAGTAGAGATACAGATTCTCATTAATACATGAGAAGAATGGCCATTTTCTTGTAGCAATACACAGTGCAATAGTATGCAGCTTATATTTATACAAATATCAATTATACAAGAGATGCAACAGTAATGGAATTGGGAAGGAGACTGCTGAGTATGTTTACAGAGATACAAAGGCATAGAGATAAAGCCAGACTTCCTTTATAGTGTAAGATTCAGAGTGGTTTACTGTAAAATGCCTCAGAATTGTTGACAGTGGTGGTGGTAGAAACCAAACATCTGTGTTTTGAGAAGATTTTGACCTAAAATGTATTCAAATCCATTCATGGTTTAGAGGTACATGCAGATTGTAGTACGTTTAGATGTACCACTATTTTACCATCATTAACTTTACATACAAAAACTCAGAGGATGCATGCATGTTCATTGGTGGTTTTGGATAGTAAATAAAATGATTATTTGCATTTTAGACATCACAAACCCTGGTTCCTATCAACGCAACCATAAAGAAATTAAAGAGACCAAAAATTTCTCTACCATGAACCATTTCACGTCCAACCACTCTGAGTGACTTTACATACACTTCAACCAGTAAGTTATGAAGAAATACTGAGAAATTGGTGGAAGTCCAAAAGAAGATGCATGTGTGTGTGTGTCAGTACCTTAAGTTCCTCCTCCATCTCAGAAATCTTCCTTTCTAGAGCTCTTCTTTCCTGTAGATACACAACACATACTGCTTAGAGACAAGTTCACGTCGCACACACACACACACAGACACACACGCACACACACACACACACACACACACACACGCACACAGATTTAGAGAAAAGGATGCATGATGTGAATGGCTGCTAAAAAGTGAAAAACACAACAAGCTGATCTGTGGAAAAGCTAAGATGAAAGTGCAGAGCTTAAATACAAAACACAATTTGTGAAATAAACACACATTGGTGGTAGAAATGCACATGATGGGATTGTTAAGGAGTGTTAACGGGGCACTGAATAAGTGAGGTAAATGAGTGTCTGGGTAAAAGTTTTAAAGGAATAGTTTAGTGTGTCCTAGTTGGCAGTGTAAACCCATTATGGGGGGAATGAATGCAGCCTTAGGAATGTCACGAATGCTCTGAGGGAAATCTCACGTTAGAGAACAAAAGCTTATTCAGCACAATCTGGAACGCTTAGGTAACGCTGGGAACGAGGAAAACTGCTGGGAGTGAACAGAAAGGATGACGGTACATTACAGTAAAAGGTAACAGAAGAAATAAAGCTAGAGTATTACCGTAATATTGTATGATGTTATAATAACAATAATTATAATAAAAGATAATAATTATAATAAAATAGAATAACAGATGCACTGTGTATGTGACGGATGCCTTAGCAAATCTTTTCCATATTAGACAAACAAAATTAGAATTAAATTAATAATGCCATGACAGTATTCAAACAGGCGACTAAAATACAAAAAGGGCACGTCAACTAAGTTACTAAGACTGATAATTCAAAACGATAGCATGAAACCTTTGAGGAAAAATTATTCTCTAAGCCTTTTACAAAGTGTAAATTTAGGGGAGTGCCTAGGCACATGGGAGGCCCCCAAAAACCTGTTTAGGACCCCCAAAATCTACAGCCAGCCCATGATACGTAAAATGATTTCAAACAATTTTATTCCAAATCCCTTCACTTGTGCTAACAGATTTATATTAGAACATCATCTGTGTTTTCAATATGATGATTTTGCAAAAAAAAAGAATTCATGCAAATGTAATTCAAACTAATTCTTGAAGATGTGTGTTCAAATCATCACAAAAAGCACATGCAGAACTTCAAATGGAAAAAAAAAGCCCACATACCTTTCACTTACACACACACACACACACACACACACACAAACACGCATACACTCTATGACTACTGCTGGACCGAAAGGTGACCACACGTTGCACTAAATTCAAAACACACACGGGTGACAGAGGGCGTTTGTGATTGGCTGATGGGGTTGGTCCCACCCCTTCGGCTGTGACAGGCATGTGATTCAGCCAACAGCAGAACCGTAAAACTCTATGAACGCAGGTTAGACTTTACCCATAGCACCCAGCTTGTACTGAGGCCTGCCAGCAACCTTCAGACATAAACGAGTGGGAAGGGATTATGGGCTGGCCAGTTAGTAGACATTTACAGGACACAGTGCAGTACCTTCATCTACATCAATGCTATTCACTCTCTGCATCTGAGCTCCACAGATGATCAATAAACCCAGACAACACCAACCCAACATTCTCCAACAAACACTAATCACTCAATCACACAATCAAACAAATGCCCAACCACTCTCGATCGGTTACTCTCCAATGCCAGTATTTTCCACTAAACACTATAATTCTCCACTGTCAGTCTCTATCGAACACCATCATTTTTCAACACCACCATATTCAATCACTGTTAGTCTCCATCAACCAACCAACATTCTACATCAAATTCATTCTTCCCAAAACACTGTTAGTCTCCATCAAACACCACCATTCTCCACCAAACGCCACCATTCTGTAACAAACACCATAATTTTTGACTAAAAGCACCATCGGTCTCCAACATAAAACATTTTCTACAATTACTGTCTTCAGAAAAATGACAATCAAGCTTCAAGAAAAGTCTCCACCAAATACCAGCCATTCTTTACCAAACAATCTTTTTCCACCGAATGTCCATCATTCTCGACCAAACACCAGCGTTCTTCACCAAACATCGTCAATTTTCGATAAGCACCAATCGCTCTACACCAATTATATTTTCATTCTCCATCAAATAATTACATTCTCAACCGAACACTATCAGTCTAAAACAATCAATCATTCTCCTAAAATCATTCAACAATTATTCTTTACCAAAGAACATCATTCTGAGGTCATTCTTGAACAAACACCAATCACACAAATACCATCAAACACGTTTTCCAAAGCACATGATTCTCTACCAAGCTCCATGATTTTATTCCAAACTTCATCATTTTCCATCAAACTCCACGCTTCTCCAATCATTCTCCTGACAGCATTGTTCTCCACTAATTGCCAGTCTTTCTCCAACAAACACTATAATTCTCCATCAAACACCATCATTGCCCATTGAAAGCTGTGTTGGTGTTGCTCTGGGTGTAACCTGATAGTCCAGCTCTAAATCTGTAGAATGAAAATGACGTGTAGCTCCATTTCTCTGTGGGTCCTCAGAAGCAGAGATGAGATGTGTCGATGAAAAACAGTGATAGAGCATTGTTTATTAATCCATAAATGTCTATTATGGATATCATGCTCCATCACCATGAAGTACACTCACTCATCCATATCTACAGACAGGCCAAAGCATACTGTACATCACATTATGGAGCTTTGTTTCCTTCAATGCTTCCGCTGTACTACTAGTATATACAATTTATGTTCTATTTGGAAAAACAATCCATATATAGTGTACAAGAGTGTGATGAACATCTTTACCCTTTTCTCCATCTCCAGCTGTGACCTATCAGCAAAGCGTTCCTGTCTCTGTAACACAAACACACATAAACAATTTTTTTTCTTGCAAACCAGGACATCTACAAACTTCATGCTACATCAGCAGACACCACAGCACCATCTCACATTTCTTTGTTTATAAGAAAAAGGAATAAATGCCTTCTGTGTTAAAGTTAATATCAACATCTTGTCAACATGAACTAAACTGCAAACTATGTTGCTCAGCAGTGCTTTGAAGTGGAGGGGTCAACATCTAATTTTATAACTTTGTTTGGATGAATAACCTCAGGCATATTGCGTAAACTAGCCTAGACAGTCGAGTAGATGCAGAAATAAAGTAAAGAACAAAATTAAGGGGGCTACTTATCACAGTGGGCTCCACTTCCCACAATGCCTCCAATCAGGAAATGCTGAAATGTTAATTTTCTGTGTCTAAACGAAGTTCATGCCCGTATCTTACATGTATCACTATTTACTTAAACAGTGCTTTGAAGTAAAACAAAACAGGTCAATATTTCATTTCACAAGTGTGTTTACACTAATATCTTAAATCTTAAAGGCTTGTGTGTTTGTAACTGTAGCTTCCACTTCCTATAACCCTTCACAAATCAGCAAAGTCTGATTAAAAAAAAAGCAGAATGTGCGATTACAAATCAATCTGTGTGCACATTGTCTCTAGTTATCAGGTGGACAGTTGTTCTGAGCATGCTCATTTGGAGCCTCACCTGTGTGGCTTTCTCCAGCTGTAGCTTCAGATCTGCTAGCTCCAGATCTGTGTCACGTAACTGAGCCTTCAGCTTCTCATTTTCAGCTAGGACCTGTTCATAAAGCTGTACATACACATATACACAAATGGACTAACATAAACCCAAACAAGTAAGCACTAAATAATAAAAGAAGCATTTCTGATGGAGAGTGTATGGCTTTGTACGAAAAACTGCCCCTCTAATTTACACAACACTGGAATATCTGCAATATTTTTAATGACACCGATAAAAATTTGAATCATCAATATTAGATGGCAAGTCATGTAAGACTTAAGGTTAGCCGTCAGAAAATTCTGATACAATATTTTCTTTTACAAAATGGCCATCTTGTCCAGTGCTCATAACTGCCGCCAGCCAAAAAAAAAGTCCCTGTATTATTATATTATTATTTTGACATTGTTATTGCTATTGTTGCTGCTGTTAAGAGTTGGCTGATGTTTTTGTACCTTCTTATAGTCAGTGGTATCATCTCTGTCCAGTCGTGAGTACGGCCGACGGCCCTCTCGGTAGCCGCGGCTATCCAGGTGCTCGTAGCGGTCGGTATAAGATGTACTACTGGGCACTGTATCGTTTCTGAAGAGGAAAACATTGAAAATTCATTACCTCATTGACAGACACACACTCAGATAACAATCTACAATGTTATAAAACAATTTAATATAATACATTTGCTATATTACATATTTCTATGCATTGCAAACATTTGTAATATAAGCATTATTAATTCTGATAGTTTTATACTAGGGAGAGGTATCAGGGGTTTAAGGCAGACTACAGCATTCAGTCCCTTAACAGAGCAAAGTAACAGTGAATTTCCAAAAAATGAAACGCAACACTGTGTGACCTCGGAGGAGGCCCAAGTGTCTGTAAGAGCACACACCTGGACAGTCGGTCACTCTGCGGAGAAAAACAGAGAAATGACATGATTATAATTTATACTCAACCAAACAGCAGAAACTCACAGCCTTAAACAATGCAGCCAATGTAGCACTGAGGCAGAGTTATTTTATTTTTGATGGAAAAGGTATTTTGTGTTACATGTTATTCTCATGCTAAAGGTATGGACGCATTTTATACGAGGTCATTCATGGTTCTCTGGATTTGGATTACTGTTCTACTGTTGTGTACAGTATGGTGCAAAACTCAGCGACCATCCTTCATTTAATTAACATCCAGTAAAAGTTGATCAAGTACACATGATTTATTTATTTATTTTCCATCTGGACTAGTTTGCTTTACAACACCCTGCATGTAATCTCTGCAATGAACGAATTAAAAAAGTACATGTTGACAGTTTGGCTGCAAAACTATCATAAAACAATGTCTTAGACATCAGGCACCATATTCATTTTGCCTAATTATGTTTAGTAACGTTCTGAGAGGGAGCTTTTAGAGGCATTAAACTCTTCAGACGTCTGGTTCCTATCACCACTGTGAACAATTCTGACTTCGGAGAATTCCACATCAAACCACTCTGATTTTGTTTACATCCTAAACGTTAATTAATTTAGAATGGGATGTCATGAAACTCCTGTAGGTGACCCAATACATTTGTCCCTTTAGTGGTACATTATTTACTATATTTTTCAATTCCACATTATTTTTAATGCTCACACCTTAATAAGCAAACAAATACTAAGTTGGGTTCAGATATCCATGTATTCCAACGACAACACCCATTCATATTTCAGTTGCAAAGCATGCTGCGATTCAGCTTAAAATAGCTCACAAGTATGGTCCATTCTTTTCAGTCGTGCAGGGATAATGACTCATTTCCTATTTTTGTTTCTGACCCACCCAGTTCTCAAAAGACTTGATAAAACTCTGATCACTCACCCTGGCCTTGAAGGGAAGGCTGCTAACTCTAGCAAACAAGCCCACTTTTTAATTATTAGCTTTTCTCGTGTCTAAAGAGAGGTGGCTAACAGAAAGATAGCACTTTTAAACAAACCGGCATGCTAAATTATATAAAAATATAAGGAAAAGGTGCTAACAGGGCTAACTACGAATGAAAGCTAACAGCCACTGATTAGCATGATTTATTTCCAAAATGTGATTATTATTATAATATTATTTACAACCTTTCCCTCTATATTAGCAGCACTAGATTAGCCGAAGAACTGAAAGCTTCAAACGTTTTAATAATTCAGCCATGACGCACCTAGCAAAGCACTTGACAAGTGTTTATAATTCATCTCACTGAACTGGTATGAGTTGTTCTAATGCAGCTTTTTGTACTAGTTGTGGCTGCTAGCCAGACATAAACTCACCTCTAGTTTCTCCCTCTTTCTCTCTTTCACCTCCTCTGTCTGCTCCTCTTCCCCTCTATCTCTTTCTTTCTTTCTCTCCTTTTCCCTACCTCCATCCATCCCACTGTGTCTGGTGCAAATCCAGCCTGGTTTGTTTTTCTCTCTCTCTCTCTAAGCACTAGGCAGGGCACTCTTATCTTTCCCACTGCTGAGTCACAGAAACATTTCAGGTTTTCACAGCTTTAATTTGGTCTTGTGTCTTAAGCTCGGCTTTACAAGCTGACCTGAGAACAGTCATGTGCGCCTATGATACTCAGAAATTAGAATTTATTTCATGGAATCTGATCCAGAAGCTGAGCTTAGAGGCCATTTCCATCCAAAACATGAAGGCCAGAACTGTTCCGGCTCTACAGAAAGTGAAAAACAGGCCCTCCCGTACCTTGGATATGGCTTATGGCGTGTAAATCTATTGGAAGTGAAACATTATGAAAAAGATGTGAGCAGATTTCGTTTCAGGCCACCAGCAGCCTTTGAACTACAGGCTGAAGCTGCTTTCCATTGTGGCTGCCTGAAGGCCTACAGAGAAACCACACTGATATTATAAAGCACTATGCACCATCTGTTACAGTGATTCTCATGGTTTAAGGGGAATTCCATCAGTACTTCACAATTTCTGCACAATTCAATGGTTAAGATGTAAACAAAGTCATTCAGAGTGGTTTGATGTGAAATGCTTGGTTCAAGAGAAACTTACTAACACAGTGTTTAATGGCAGTTTTGAGAAGGTTTTGGCCCAAAACATATTTTTATATTAATATTATGTATTTTTAAATACATTCATGGCAAAGAGGTACATGCAGGGCTCTGTGAGGCAGAACAGTTTTAGTACCACTATTGTACCACTATTTTACCATCATCATTACATATAAAACTTAGAAGACGTGTGTAGGTTCACTGGTGGTTTGGATAGTAAATAAAATGCCTATATTTGTGCTGTAGACATCACAACCGCTGGTTCCTATCACCACTGTAAAGTAATCAGTCAGTAAAGTCAGTAAGTTTCCGTACAATTACCTATTTCACATCAAACCACTCTGAATGACTTTTACATCACAGCCTTTGAGCAGCTGATAGGTTAGCATGAATTAAGTGAACCATTTAGAATGAATAAAGTTAACAACTGAGCATTAATAAGATTAGTAAGTTAGCATGAATAAAGTGAATAAATTAACATTAATAAGGTTAGTAAGTTAACATTAATAAAATCAATATTTTGGCTTTAATAAAGTTAGCAAGTTGGCATTAATAAAGTGAATATTTCTTTATTTTTAATAGATTTAATAAGCCCCACTAGATTTTAGAAATGGAACAATCCAATTCATAATAGCCTTTTTTGTTGCTTTTTTATTGCTAAAAATCCCATAAAAATCTTTAAAAATCCAAAGTACAAACACAATCACAGGAAGGTGAAAAATGGAGTGAGTCTGAAGAGCCAGCATCATTACTGTGAGTGAGTGTGTGTGTGTGTGTGTGTGTGAGTGTGTGTGTGTGTGTGTGTGTGTGAGTGTGTGTACTTAGCCAAACATGGCCAAATCAAAGAAAAACCCTGCTGTGCTTTGACTATACAAGGTGAAGGATGAAACTGAGCAGGAAAACAAGTTAAAAAAAAAAATAAACGCTGGTGATTTAAATCTGCTTTCATCACTTTTTTTCAGAAGCTCAACAGGGTGGAACTTCAACAAAATCAAATCAGACACGTGGCTGATAAACAGCACAGCTGCCGAAAGTTACAAATAGCCTTTTTATTGCTTTAAAGTTATGGTTGGGCAAAAACAACAACAATTTTTTTTTTATTTACTTATTCAAATGTAGCCAATCAGACAAGACATGTTTGGTGTCTTAAGTTTGCTTCTTCAGTTTCAGACTAGAGCTATGAGGCTAACAAGTAATAGAAGTGTTTGTACAATAATTGGCATGGTGCTTATTTGGTTTGTGACACTGAAATACACACTGGGCCTCATTCACCAATATCTTCCTTTTTTCTTAAATTTGCTCTTAGGAAAGGTCTAAAAAAGAAATCCATGTCAGATTCATGACGCGTTCTTAAACTGCAGAATTGTTCGCACCTTTGTGTGTAGATTCCGTTCTTACCTAAGAACAAATCCCAAATAAGAAAACACTGGTGAATGTCAGAATCTCAGTAAAAACTGCGTAAGTGGGTTTTAAAAAGAAATTTCTTTTTAAGAATGGTGAATGAGGATCGCTGTTATCTACAAACATGGACTAAAGTACGTTTGCATACCAAAAAACAGTAGTGAAGCCTGAATTTTGATTGTATTGTTCATTTTCATTCAAAAACTCAAAAAAAGTCACACATTTCAGCCAGTAAACAGCTACCAACATTTATAAACAGCCTTTTTTGATAGCTTTAGTGTTTTCAGTGCACACTGGTGCTGATTAATAAAAAAATCCAATCGATCGAATCTCAGCTCCAAAGTGTGCAGCATAGCGCGAAAGCCCTGGTTCTCAACGACCGAGAACAGACAGCAGACAGCAGGTCACATAGCCCCGAGGTCTGGCCTCGCCAGTAGCGAACGAAAAAACAGAGATTAAGACGAACATTTGGAGACTTATTCGCATTTATAAGCAGCGCCGTTGGTTAAATCTGCTGAGAGACTGTCTTTCTCTAAAAAGTTGCGAAAATGAACTCGCTTCTCTTTCGTATTTTCCCGTTCCACCTTAAATGGTGCAGCAGTTACATTCGGCGCCTAAGGCAGAATTTAAGGTGGAACGGGACAATTAGAACGAGAAGCGAATGAGAAGCGACTTCAGCCTCGTAAAACAGCCGAATGCTGAGACATTTTACAAGAAGCTCTTCTAGTTTTGAGGTTGGAGATGGGAGGAAAGCGGCTAAAGCTAAAGCTTAAAGCAGAGCGAAGTAAATCTGCGCTCTCGCTTACATTTTTAGCCCATACTACGACATCAACACATACTGAGACATACTGGACATTAAATGTTGTGGCTCCCAAGGTGGTTTTGACTTTGTTGAAAGGACAAAATGTCTCTTCTGAACATTTGTGTTGTGACTCCTGACCTAACCTGGCTTTAATGCAGAGGGAGCCGGTCGGATTTCTCGCTCATCCAGTTGTGTTTTTGTTATGTGCCGGGCACTGTACTTACTCACTTCCAAGTTCCGCCTTTTACATTCCGTCAACATTACGTTATAAATTAAATATTTAGAAAATCCATTTTTGACATTTATGAATCGATTCAGAATCGTTCACGTCTGCATCGTGATGCATCTAAGAATTGTAGCAGCAACCATTAAAAAGCAAAGAGATGTTAGAACATCATATTTCTGAACTAAAAGCTAAGCATCAAAAATTGGATCTAGAGACCTTAGGCTTATGTGCAGCTGTTTCACAGTGTTCCATTCTACTGACCACTAACAGTGATCCTTTCTAAAGGCCACTAACAGCTTGTACATAGCATGAAAATATAGGGGTGGGCAATATGACAATATTTTAGCGTTATTTTCATTTTCAGAGCTTATCATGGATAAGAACTGTGTGTTTTTTTATTTTTTTTTACATAGACAGCATAATTAGTCAGGTTTAACTGAAATTCATTACAGTGCAGTATGTAAAATATTAAATACATTGGTGTACTCATTTTTAAATGTGACCAGTAAATTGTGAGACAACTTTTCAAACTTTAGAAAGCCTAAATATCATGTAAATATCATGAAATTGTAACCAAGAATACTGATATGATAACTTGTCAAAATACAATTCTCTATATTTTTTTGTTATTAACATGCATTTAGTGGCCTTTGTTTGGCATTCCAACTGTTCAAATACTAAGCAAATTATTTCTTACTATTTGAGGTCTGATAGAGATTTAAACTGCCCATCCCTATGTAGAACGTATGACCAATAATTCAAACATCTATCAATCAATCCAGCTGACCTTAAAAAGGGTAAATAGGTGTGTGTGTGTGTGTGTGTGTGTGTGAGAGTGAGAGAGAGAGAGAGAGAGAGAGAGAGAAATGATGTCATGGTGAGATTACCTGAGGTTCTCCTTTAGTGCTTCCTTCCTCTGAGTCCGACTGCTGTTCCGGATCATTTTCATCACTCTGTAATAAACACATCCAGTGTTAAGGAGCTTTTCAGTTTAATGATACATGTTGACGTGAGCTGTTTGCATGCATGTAGGCAACTATGTAAGTGATGTATGTATATGTACAGTGTGTGATATACACTGCATGTAATTTTGTACATCACTGTAAATCATTAGAGCAATCAATCAATCAATAAATCTATTGTGACAATACTTAAAAAAGGGACTGAATTGAAAAGTAACAGTGAAAACTAATTTTATTCAGAAAAACTTAGTAGGGGTGGGAGAAAAACTAATCTGTACAGTTACACTACTGCAATATTTGGTGGTAAAATTGTATTGATATACAAGGCTGAAAAATAGCATTATTTTATTCCTTAATTATTAATATTTGTAACATTTATCCATTGTTAAAAATATAAAATGTATTTCCTTCTATTTCCACAAGATGGTGCTGTTTCTTTCAGGTAAGAGCAAGCTATCTGTCAGTGGAGTGATTAAGAACAGTTAGATAGAGTAGTGGACCACCAATACGCCCCACACACACGAGAACAGGGCTTGATCCTACTATTTTGGTAGGAATCAGACACACCAATACAATATCCTAAATAACAGACAATGAGTGAGACTTCTAATGTCAAACAGGCAACGCCAGATGTCCTAATATCAGATAAGCACAGTCGCGCTGCTACACCTGTACACAAATGTTGTAGCATAATTAATCATGACTCATTGTGCTAAACAGCCAGCTGCCTCTTAGTTTTGATACAGCACTTTATTTGATTCATGTTATTTAAACAGGCGACTGATTTAAAACTGAAGACATTTCATGTCAGTGTGGCCTGTTAAAGAGTAAATAATGTTATTTTTATTGGCTGTGGCTAAAAGACAAAACTAAAAACGTGCTACTGCCTTTCAAGTGTTCGCTTAGCCCACACAGTGTGAGCGTCTGAGGGTGAGGGGGGATCAAACCAAAACAAAAAATAATAATTTGTCCATTGGCCGAGAGAAAGAGAGAGTGTGAGCGTCTCTTACATCTTGGGTCCAGAAGGAAACTCCAGTAGAGCGCCTTTTCTCTCGGGGTCGTCTGCGATCCCGTATGGAGCGAGGCTGAGTTTTATCCTCTGCTTCCTTCTCTGCCTCTTTCTTATCCACCTCTGCTAACACACACACACACACACACACACACACACACACACACACACACACAGATCATAAGTATAATCACACAAACCACAACTATCAATCCACTCCACATTTGTGTTTGTATGTAGAAGATGAGATAATTTAGTATGATTTGAATTGGATGAAAAGTTATTGTTACAGTCTTTATGTAATTCATCATGCAATTATGTAATTATGTACACTGAATATACAGCAAAATGACACAGCTACGTTTCTGAGCGGGTTAAAGTGAAAAAAAGAGGCAATTTTGTATATTATGTAAATTGATTGATACCGTTTAAAAGAAAAACAGTGCTATCTTTGATACATGCCTTACCTCAGTTTAACCTGTAGTTCATCAGGTTCTCATATCAAAGGCAAACTCAAAACTCACATCTGTTTTGATCAACTAATGAAATATAGATGATTGTTTTAGCATGACGATCAGTTTGGAATCTTATTTCATGTGGTGAGCAGTTAATACGACTAGCGTGAGCTGGCAATGTTTCAAATCAAAACACCCCACTCTTAGAGAAACAAAGTGCATAGTGTTCCTCCACACTCCAGCAGATAACACAGTCTTTCTCTTTTCCCACAGACACGCTAAGACTTTATCTCAGAGGAGGGAAAGTCTCCACAGAAAATACTGAACCTAAAAGAGAGTAAACTGCTCTTTAGCCTGTTTTGAAGACCAGAAGGTAAGGCTTCGATGTCAATAAAGTAGCAGCATCTCTAAGGGCAATGAGGGATAAATCAGTTTCTTATTATAATCACCATTTAAAACAATTATTCAATTAACATAATATTTATGAATGATTAAATAAATCAATACACAAATCTCGTTTATTATTGCAGTTTCAGGAATAGTTTGTTAAAAAGGAAAAAGAATTTTCCTGTAGAGGTCTAACTAGTCGACAATGACGGGGCCTGACAAAATATCCAGTTTTGGGCCAGGTTTGGCCCGTTTTTCATGTACATCAGGCTCTTGTTTGTTTTCTAATCTGTTTTTTGTTTTGTTTTGTTTTATCTGAAAGGAATGTCTACAAAAAGATTATCCCAGCATGCCATTTTCTGCTGATCATCTCACGCTCTTAGTAACTAAGCAAAGCTGTATAAAACCATGTTTGTGATCGTCCATCTCTCTTAGTTTGTGCAAGCTGGTTTGGTTTTCAAATTAAGCCGTACCGGTCGGGCCGGGTCTCTGTCACTGGTCTGGTTTGGGTTTCAGTTTCACACCCAGGCAGACCTTTCAGTTCCTCCTTACTATAAATGCAGTTTGAGAGCTGCCTGAAGTGCACACCTTTAGTTTTATACTGGGGCTACAAGTCCAGCTAGCAAGTTAATAAAGTCTATGTACACCAATTAGCATGGTGCTAACGCATACCTAAATCATAGTGTACTCACTTCAAACTCTGCAGAGGTGTTAGGTATCTCAAACTGACTTGCTTATAATATAACAATAACGATAATAATAACTTTACTTAAAGAACACTTTAGTTTCAATTTCATCCTGTTTTTGCTCAGTCCAGCCATGAATTTTAATAGTTTTAATTACATTAGAATTCTTTTTGTTTAACAATTTCATTTGCTTATATTAATGCAAAAATCTGATGAGTCAATGTCCATTCTGTCGGTTAGGTGTATAAAGTGTGTACCAAGCTGGACAGATTGGTTTGGTTCTTTAAAAACAAGGCTATGCTCTTTTAATATGGTTTCAGACACTGTAAGACATGTTATCCATAAAAACATGGACAGAGGACTGACACATAGCTTAAAACAGCAGTAAGTAGTCACAGCATTTAGAAGCCTGAACTTTGTCCATACTTTTGGCCATACAGACATATCATACAGTCTGAGAAACCACTTAAGCAAGTCTATTAGAGATTGTCATACCGTTTGTATGACGCTAACTGGTGCACATAAGCTTTTATTACTAATTAGCATCAAGGACGGAAGTCAAATAAATTAAAATTTTCACAGAATTATTGCTTTAACTGAATGAGCACTAGTCTGTACCTTTCTCAGTGTCGCGGGCTAAGCCAGAGCGGCTGTAGGTGGAGCTGATGCCACTCAGGCTGTTGGGCCGGTTCAGCAAGGAAGAAGAGGAGGTGTAGAGGGACGAAGAGCTGCTGGAGGACGAGGGCAGCGTGGAGGCCGTGGTGGTGGAGGAGCTCAGGGAAGAAGTTCGGTACCGCTGTGCACAGAAACAATATTTTCATAAAATACAGTCATTGTGCCCAATAGTGGAATTACAGGAATAGTTCGGCAAAAAAATCTAACTTATCCAATTTTCCCCACTTATCCCAAATGCAGTCCATCAGCCAAGACGTGTGTAGAGTCTAAATTTTCTTTCTTTATTTTACAGCTGGAGCTGCGAGGCTAATGCTAGAGTTCAATAGTCACCCAAATAGCCTAAATGTTCCTGTAAAAATAAGTTATCACAACTTCTCTCAACCGGCTCAAACCACTTCCAGGTCTTCAAAAAGGCTGCACACACTTGCCAACATGGTTTATAGCACAGAATGGTCTGGTAGATTCTGCTGTATTAATGATAGTAATCGTCACAAATTCTAGATCAGTATTCCTACTTCTGGATTATGAATACTCTCTATTGACCAAAGTGGCTGCCAGCAATTCTTTTCATTTTCATAATTCATAGTATGTCACACTGTGTCCTAAAGCACATCAACAAGTCTGAGCGGCCTTTAAAATGACCTGGAAGTGGTTTGAGAGACGTTTTGGTGACGTTTTTTTACAGAAACGATTTAAGCTATTTGGGTGACTACTGAGCAACAACAGCAGATGTACAATATGTTGAAAAAAGCTTGAGTTTAATATTTATAATAATACATCAGCCGGGCCCTAACGCAGTTACAAACACCATGAGGAAAGAAAGAACTCTCTTCACCTCCTCAAAAGCCCGATAGCGAGACCTATAATCATCTTCCTTCGTTTCTGCCTCCTTTGTTTCGACCTCTTTTGTCTCAGCCTCCTGTTTCTCCTTATCCTGTTTCTCCTTGTCCTGCTTCTCCTCCTCTCTGGACCGCGTGGGGCGACTGCGGCCGATCGTCTTCTCCGCTTCCTGGAGGTCAGTCAGGGTCACACCCTGCACAGGAAAAGGTCAGGTGGTCAGATACAGATGCCTTGAAATTCACTGTATTTCCAAATCTGTTGAAATATCTCATCTAAGTTAGAAAAAGCTGCAAATGCTAGTCACTGTAGGAAACGCATCAAATCTTAAAAAGCCTGTACTCTACATTTTTCTAGTATTCCATTTTCCCTCGAAGGTCCACTTTTAAAGTTTGTGGGGGCCACTGTAACTGAAACAGTCAGAATTCATTTCTCTTTATTCTGTAGAATTGTTACCGTACCTTTGAGACTGATATATGAAAATGATCTCAGTTCAGATTGGTGGTCTTGTATTGTGCCTCATTCAAGAAGCAGTCTGAGTTGAAACACTTCTTAGAACTTCAGTGTGAATGAATAGATATATGTAAACAGTTTGGGTTTCATGACATCACAACCATGATGAATTCAAATTGGGCTGTTTTGCAGTTTACAACAATGTTTACATACTGTATTAAACTTCAGTTTAAAAACACTGAGCAGTCAAACTAAACAGCCATTTGTTTACAAATAAGGCGCAAGACATAGGTGTATCATATAAATGAAAAGGCCTTGTTTTGAAGCTCAAAGGCCTGACTTATTTCACTTTCACATTATAAACACTAAGCCTCAAATAAGGTTTTTACTTAAATTTCAGGATTTGGACATAATTAACTAGATACAAAAAAGTTCTCATATATATATATTTACAATACAGAAATTATTTTTGGAACAAGACATAGAACAGCCTTCTAAACTGATCCGAATAGACCACTGAAATTGTGAACAAACAGCAGAGAGCGTTGTAAATGATCCAGACACAGAAGTAGTTAAGCAGAACTTGCCTGAGTGGATCTCCTGGACTGTCGGGCCTGTCGAGATCGAGCTTTCCTCTGAGACTCCGACTCCTCATCACGCACAGGAGTGAGGTACGATCTGCACAAACACAAACAACAATCACATCAATGCTGGTCTGGACAACAGCAGTTCAAGAACATCCTCAAGATCTGAATCTAGTACCATTCCACAATAAAATGGAGGAAAAAGAAAAACAATGAGTTTTTTTTTCTTTGTTTCGTTGAGTTTTTCAACTCGCTGACCTTAGAATGATTTGACTGAATTAGGAATCTGATTCCATTCATTAGGTAACAATTCAAAGAAATCAATTGAGAATGATGAAAAAAAAAAAAATGTAATGGTAACTGTATGAACTATTTACACAGCAGTTGAACACAGACAACAGAAACAATACACTAGGCTTAATCTTCTTAGTTTTATATTTCATATTCAAAAATGGCGCGAATAAAAAAAAAAAAGCATGCAAACTTTTTAGAACATTTTCAATATTCCAAAACTGCTGTAGCTGAACCACCCGCTTGCAAATTATGTTTATTTTCTTTCATTATTTTTACATTTGAATACAGTCTGAAAATTATATTTTGGCCAAAAAAAGAGCACATACTTTATAGAACATAATTATAAATGACGACACTCCAAAACTGAAACCAACATGAGGTCCTTCTACATCACTAAGCTTGTATTTGAAGCATTAATTCGCTTCCCCAAAGGCTCATTCAACAGACACAGTCTGAAAATCAAACTAGATCAAAGCACTTCCAGTTTTTTGGCTGCAGCCACAGTGATACTGCAGACACTCAGCCTGCAGCAGTCTAAAAGCACACTAATAATAAAAATGATTCATGACCCCCGTTAATATAAAACATGTGATTTATACTGTATAATTCATAATGTATAATAAAATAAAGGACAGGATGAATCACTTGTGTGCATTTCATATACATAAACAGAAACAGGAATATATACAAAAACATTGCAGTAAGCCAATCACAAAGTATAAAGAGTCAGTTCTTACTAAAAATAAAACCTGTTTCCTATGTCGATTACAAAATGTTCAGTCAGGCTGGGTTACACTGCTATGTAGAAAGAGCTGATTCAGGCCTTATAAGGAGAAGAGACAGACTGCAGCACATGGCCCGTGTCAAAATACACATTTTACAGAGCTGCCTGTGCTACAGGCAGTCAGCAGTGAAGCCAGAATACAGGTCATTCATAAATGCACAAGCTTAAGCACCATTAGAACACAGGCAACACATAATCCACAATTACATTATACAGCTGTATGCAAAAGTTTAAATAACCCTGGTCAAATGACATGTTTTGTTGACTTTCTAAATTAACATATCCTCTACAGAAATAATTAAGGCATTTTTCTGCAAATTTCTGCAAATTTAAGTGCCCTATTTCTATTATTTGCTGACTTTAACTTGGAAAAAATGAAACATGGAATACAGTCCTGTAACTTTTGCACAGGTCATATTTTTGTTTTTGTTTTTTTCCACAATATGTTAAATTCAGCATAGAACAGTAATTGTACCTAAAAATGAACAGAAGTGTGTTCTCTTTAGAGAATAGGTTAACTAACTTTTCATTTGAGCAGAGCCGCCCAAATTCTTGCACACAACTGCAGCTATGGGTTACATCTTTAAAAGGGTAGGCAGAAGGAAACACGTTCTTAACTTTAATGTACATTAACATAAGATTGTGTTCTTATGTAAGTAATTATGGTCCTTTTCTTTTGGCTCATTCATCATGTAATGTTCACACGTAAAGAACAGTGGGCCTTTTCTAACTGCGTTAGGGCCGGTTTAGCGAACTGATGTACACTTGTGCTAAAGTTTGTATGTAATTTATTTTTGAGGTGCCAGGTGTCTGGTTTTGAGCTCTGTTGTCCAGTTGGTACTGTTGACCAGTCCAGACTCACTCTAACTGCATTTAGACTTTTTTTCTGAAGTACATAAACTGCTGGTCTAGCTCTATCACTGAGCTTCTCACCTCCATTCAATCACAATCACACTGCCACCCAATGTGAGAAAAGACAAAATAAAGACAGAGTGGACGCTTACTCAACACAGCAGCATGTAAAAGATTAAAACAACGTTGACTTGTCTGCGTGACCTGAATTAACAACTGGATGCGGTTTGAGTGGGTTGAGAGATGTTTTAAACATGTATTTGCGGAAACGATTTGGTTGACTATTGACTTTCAGCGTGTATATAAGCAACATTAGCCTAGCATCTTCAGTTTTAATCTTAAGAAGCAAAATTGTGGAAAATCTTAAGAAGCAAAAAGTGGAAAAATCAGGTAAATTGGATTTTTTTTTTTTGCTAAACTATTCATTTGATGTGGATCTTGTGAAATACGGAGAATTTTTTTTCTCCACAATAATTCAGATTCCCCACAAGGGAACTCAAACAGGGTTTTTGTGCATCATTAAAAGAGACAAAACCTGGACGTGGAGCTGTTCTATAGTGCTTGAACTACCTGATGGACTACAACTACCGTAAACACTAGAACTGACCAGCTTGCATGACTATCCTGAGGAGAAGTTTGGGCAGTGGGGCAGTGTTTAACAATAGTGTTGCACTGTACAGCTCCGACTGAAATGAATGAAATCTTGCTTGTAAAAAGCAAATGTGACTGGGTGAAAGTGTACCTGCGTCTCTCGCGGCCATCTGAGCCCAGTATAGTGCCAGTAGTGGAGGTGGAGGTGGTAGTGGTGGTGGCTGCAGTGTTGATGGTCGGAATTACAGTCGCTGACTCTTTCTCCTTCTCTGCACTGTCCTCCGACCAATACCTATGCACACACATACACATAAGATTAAAAAAATAATAATACATTAATAAATAAAAAAAAAATCATGCAAACATGACCAGACCTGAGGCAGCTGACTTTAAAAAATTAAAAAATAAAGCTGCTTTCCTGTGCCACCATCATGAGAAGTAGCTCATGTCCTGAATTTACTCATAAAAAAAAATCTGTTTGAAGTAAACAAATATAATTACAGCAGGTATTCAGAAATTTTAATTGTCCAATTTGATTGACAATCGTGACAGATGGAAACAATCGGTGATTGACGATATGGTCGTCAACTGGCTCAAGCCTAGTTATGTTTTTGTTTTTGTGGTCTCTGAAAGAGCCCTGTGCATATGGAGGAATAACACTTTTTAACTGCGTATGATGTGAAATACTTGTTGAAAAAACATTAGCTGCATTTTTCTTTTCCTGATTAATCAAAGCCACAATGAAGTGATTAAGGAAATCATTAACCAGTTGAATGTCTAAATCACATTCACCACAAACCGTGTTGAGTTGTTAATCCCTTAACAGACTTGTTTATGAGGTTTCTCATACCCACTGTTATCTATAAACATGGATTAAAGTGCATTAGCATAGCTATATCAATAGCAGCATCTTAAAGCCTGAATTTTGTCTGTACCTTAGTTAGTGTTAATAGACAACAGTCCTTGAAACAGTGTCAGAAACCACTTGAGATTACTACAACAACAGTTAGAAGAGAGTGTGTGATGATTTAGGCATGCAGTTAGCACCATGCTAATAAGACTCTATTGTTGCTCGACATTACCCTCGTAGCTCTAGTGATAAAACTAAAGAAACAAACTTCAGACACCGAACATGTCTTGACTGTTCGACTACATTTGAAGTAAGTTCTTAAGTGGATTCATTTTAAGGTGGTTAAGAAGCAGCATAACTGTGTCTATCTGGAAAGCAAGATGAGGTGGCAACAGTGACTGTACACATACACTGACGCAGTGTTCAACATTTAGGCTGAAAAAAAAAAAAGTGTTTGTTTACCTGCGTTGACCTGTAGGTGAGGTAATAGAGGAGGTGGTGCTTGTTGTCGTGGTAACGGAGGAGCTGGAGGCTGTAGAACTCACAGCATCATCCTGCCTGCGCCCAAACGAGCCGCTAAAGAGGAAAAGCATCAGAGTCAGATCATACACAAAAAAAATAGCATGAGCACACTCTCAAAATGATGTGTTAAGTGTTAAAGAACAAGCTATTTTTTGAGTTATCACTGCTTAAGCTACTCGACTCTATCCCAGTGGAGCATGGGCCAGTTTTTTCACAACATCATGTTAGGGTCTAGCTATTTCTTTTTATTTGAAGAAATTTGCCTACATAAATTTGTCCAACAGCAGGTGTTGTTTTTAACACATCTGTTTTGAGAGTGCACAAAGCGAGGCTGGAGATGCCAGGACAAGAGAGTTATGACGGCAGGTCTAGGAGATAAAATCATGACGCTAATAATCCAAATCAAACATTCTTTGAAAACTGATCATTTATGATGAGGTATTTTTGATAAAATCACAATGTCATCCTGTCCTCAGTCTAACATTAGCAGCAAAGGTTTGAAAACTGAACAAATGCTACTTCCTTATGCTAGGAGGTGCCATGTGCCTTTTACTTACTAGCCATTCATTAGCAACATCACAAACAGGTGGGAAAGTTAGGATAAATCCAACTAAAATACCCAGAGGAGATAGCAAGCCATTTAGCTACTAAAGTACCACTTAGCTAGATAGCGAGTTAAGTGCATAGCTAATAAAATACTACCTTGTCAGACAGCTAGCTAATTAGTTAAGTATTCAGCTAATACATTTTTCCTAGCTTGACAGCTACACAATTAGCTAATAATTTAGCTACAAAAAACAGACGGCCCAATTAGAGTTTTCTGTTCACAGAAACAACCAACAGAAATGACACGTCGACTTCCTAGTTAGCTTTACATCCCTCAGTATGAACCAAGCAGATGATTAAAATTCCAAGAGCACAAATGCAACCATGTCATCTACAAGCAAAACTTACCTCAAAAGCACCACTTAACCCATAAATGCCCAACTAAATTTGATATGACGAGAAAAAATGTATACATTGGATGAATATCTAACAGTTCCTATTTGAATTCCTTTAATAGGCCTTTTTTCTACTTTCATTCACAATCAAGTTTAGGTTTTCTATTGTTTAGTTCAAAAAAGTCTGATATGATCAAAAGACTAGATTAACTGACAAATTAAGTGATAATTCACTTTTAGGCCATGAGGTTTGATTAATTTTGATTTGTGCACAGGCTCAGTGAACAAACCGACCAAAAGACATTCAAATTCGCAGACCCTTACATTATATAACATCTCAATAGGAAGGGACAGGTTTAAATGGCAGTAGGCTTAGGCAGAGGCCACATGCAGTGTGTGACAGTGTGTGTGTGAGCAGCAAGCTGGTGCAGGGTTGGTACCTGCGGTGTATGCTGTAAGCCTGGCTGTAGGAGGAGTGCGGGGATTGCCAGGCTTTAGTGCTGTTAGGCTCCAGGCTGGAAGCGGAGGACGACTTGGCTGGAAGGTCGCGGGAGCTGCCGCTGCGGCCGAGGGTTAGAGTGTGTGACGTGCTGCAGCGTGACAGTGAGCAGGCCACAGAGGTGTGTTAACAGGAAGACAGGGGCACATGTATATACATATACACACACACACACACACACACATACACAGACAAGACACCCTTGTTTACATGCTAGAGCTGGTCAATACGTTCCAAAATTCTCAAATCGACTGTAGTGGATAAACTGTAGATGTTAATTATTTGCATTCCCTAATGCTCAGTTTCAAGTCTGCACTGAAAACAATGTGTTAAATGTACTTGAATCAATTTTGTGCATCATTTCCACATAAAAAAAAAAATAGCTGTCCAGCTTAGAACTCCTCTTTTCTCAATATTTTTAAGTTCCACATGATTAAATGGATGTAAACAAAGTCCTTCAGAGCAGTTTCATATGAAATGCTCCATCTAGAGAAACTTATCAACCAATTTCTTTCCAGTGGTGGTGACAGGAACCAGGGGTTGTGATGACTTCAACACAAATATAGCCATTTTATTTAGCATCCAAAACCAGCAGAGAATCTACGTCTTCTGAATTTTTACATGTAACGTTGATGACCTTAAAATAGTGGTAAATCTGAAAAAATAAGCTCTTTTGGGATTATTTTGCCTTCAACGTCCTCCACGAAACTCTCCACGATGAATGTATTTATATGCCAAAATCTTCTCAAAACTATTGTCAAACAAGATCTCCGACATCTGACAGTCGTATTCATAACCATTTCATGTAATAACCTTCTTTAGAGGCATTGCACTCTTCAGAAGCCTGGTTCCTATCACCACCATTGTGATCAATTTTGACTCGCCAAGTTTCTCTAGAACACTACAAACCACTCTGAATGACTTTATTTACAGCTTAACCATTTAACTATGCAGAAAAAAACAGTGGAATCCCCTTTAATTCTTTCTTATTTTTGTTGCTGATATTGTAATTTTTTTCATCTACCTCTATTGACTAAACAGATGTGTATACCTGTTTGTGCCTGTTTCTTACAACTGTGACCCTCCTTTATGTATTATAAATTATAATATATACAGTGAGAAGAAGCAAGTATTCAGACACTTTTTTGTTATTTAACACACTTGCAGTGCATATATCCACTTCAAATTTACACATGATGCCTTTGGTACTTCTAAACATGAGCAAAAAGAATACTTTTTTTAAAAGTGTATTTCTTTTTCTTATAAATATGAAAATAAGTATCAACAAAGATAATGTTTTTAAATGAAATTGATTGGGAAAATGTATTCAGACACCACAAATTAATAACCGGCGCTTTTTTGCATAGCTGTTGTTGGCTATTACAGCTTTGAGACATCTAAAGTAAGAAGTAAACAGCTTTTTGCAGCATTGCTGTTCAGTGTTGGTCTATTTCTCTTGGCAAACAGTCTTCAATTCCCCTTCATGTCGCTCCCAACTTCGTACTTCGCTGTGGGTGGCGTTCTTTGAATGATACCGGCAATCCTTCTTTCTCAAAACGTGATGACCACGCACAAGTTTTTTAGCTTTACATTAATATGCAGAACTTTAAATATGTATATTTTAAGTGCCTGATACCCTTTTCCATATGAGTTTTGTTTTTTTTTGTGTTTATGCTTATAAATACATACATATTACTCATATCTATAAATGCAAAAGACATTTTGTGTGTACATTTGCACTGGAAATGTATTAAAGAACAAAAATAAAAGTGTCTGAACATTGTTTTCCCTCACTGCATATGTATATACATGTAACAGACAATGTTTGACTGGGGCAGTTATTGTTACGAATTTATCACCCAGACCATCTACTTAGTCATACACACAAATGCACACAAACATACATTTATATATGAACAGACAAAACACAGACAAATTGAAAACTGGGTAACTTGCACAAGCCTTGGTTTCTTATACGTAAACAACTTCTAAGTAGTTGACCTGGAGGTCAAAAGCGCATTATAACCTCCTCCCTTGATATCTAAATAAAATGAAAACTAATACTAGCAAGCTGTATAAAAGAACATACTATTACAGGACATAAAACATTCAACTTTCACAGTTTAGTGTTTGCCGTCTTGAAACACCTCACAGTTAATTTGATTTATTAACTCACTAGTTAATAATCAAATTGACTGAGATGTTCTGGAGCTGGGAACCGTAACTGTGCAGTTCTACGACCCTCCAGAATTCAAGAGAACTGACTTGGCAAAACATCAAATGTACAGTTTCCCCCTTATTTCAAATGTAGTTGACCAGCCAAGGTATGTTTGGTGCCTGCAGTTTGCAGCTTTTAGTTTTGCACTGAAGCTACGAGGCAAATGTAGCTAACAAAATGGAAGATTATTAGCATGCTAACTAGCATGATGCTAACTGTATGCCTAGCATCAAACTGTGTTGAAATGTAAAGCATTTTAAATACACTTGTTTATGTGGTTTCTGACACTGCACAACATTGTTTCTACCCTAGGGTTTCAGTCATATGATTTTTCTGTTATGGCCGCCATATTTGGGACCAAATTTCTGGCTTCGCTGCTCCGCACGACCGTAACTAGAGGTGAAAGATGGCTAAAATTACTCACCTTACTTTAGAAGAGAAAAAAAGTTACCTCGATAAAGTTGATAAAATAGGCTGCGATCCTTACACAGTTTCACCTGAATTCCTAGCCCCGCTTAAACTGATGGAAAGCTACTACATTTGTGTTTTCCTGACATATTTATTTATCTCATACACAACCCTCTCCCTACTGAAGAGTGTCTTAAAGCATTAAAAAGCACAGAAGCCTACCAGCTCTTCACGTTAGGGTGGGTAAAAGATCCCATGGTGTTGCACAAAGAGGAGAAAAAACTCTGATCATAGGCGACATCAGCGAATTAACACAGATGTGAACAATGCTGGCCTTAATAGCTGAGAGATAAGCGGTTGTCCCCCTAACGGAGCTGCAAACAGCTGGGTATAACTTCTCTGTTTCTGGAGATTTAAATGACGTTTGAATGGAGAAACAAACGTTAAATGTAAGACTGAAGGTCGTTTGGTTCAGAAAACTACATCGTGTTTTGGCAAAGGAGATTTTGTAAGTTTGCTACTGCAGTTAGTGCAGAGTTCCCCAGCTCCAGTTCTGCAACCCCTGCACTGCATAATTTTGGTTTCCCTGGTTAAAATACCTTATATTATTAGCTAAATAATCCCTTCTTGAGCTGAACGAGGTGTGTACAGCAGAGAAAATTAAAGGTCCGTGTAGTCTCTCATCATTCTCAGCTTCTCCCCGATTCAGTCCTCAAAATACCGCTACTGTTTTTAGCTAAGCGTTTTGTCCATGTTTATAGATAACAGTAAATGATACAGTGTCAGAACCCACACAACCAAGTATATTCGAGATTACTTAACAACCTGCCTGGGTCTGCTAACAAGCTTTCATTACTTGTTAGGTACATTAGCCTCATAGCTCCAGTGCTAAAACTAAAGAAGCAAACTTCAGACAGCAAACATCCTTACTGATCAACTGCATGTGGGCTAAGGGGGAAAAATATTACGTTTGATTTTTGCCAAACGTCTAAAGAGAAACATAAAGTGAAATCTGACATAGAAAAACAAGAACAGAAAAAGGCCTGACAGGTGCAGTTGTGGAATGACAGGTAAATCAGGATCATATGCATGGCATCACTGTCACACCATGCACATGTTCAAAAAACAAGCGCATGCATGCTTGGAGCAGTTATACCATTACCAAACAACAGCATAAGCAAATGAATGATGACATCTAGGCTAGATTAATGATGCAAGTCTAAAAGAATATTCATTAGAATGATGTTAGTTATGTAACATCTACTCCCACAGCTGTTATAGTTAAGCATCTAGTTCTAGTGATTTAGCAATATGCTATTAAGGGCAGGTTGGCTTGAAGGATATGAAGACGTTAAAAGCCAGATCTCCTGGTTCTAGAGGAGTGGTCCGCAGGAAAATTTTACAAGGGGCAAAACCTCCATGTAAAATGATGAGTAAAGGTGCACCTATATTGTCTTTAACAGCCTATAACTTATTATCTTTCTCTGTTATGAGTAGTTACCAGCCTTTTTCTGTTTTTAAAACATAATCGCTGAAGTATTTTTATAAGCCTACATTGCTAACATCAGTTAAGGATACTAAAGCTAACTAGGGTAACTTAGCAACTGTTTCCTAGCTAATGCTAAAGCATTCCACAGTGCCCTTTATTTAATTTTGTGCAGACATGATGAGCCAAAAAGTCCTGTGCGCATATACTTGCGGACCACTTCTCTAGAGAAAGTATAACCTGCGTCCGGTTCTGCATAAAAGCTAACCTGCGCTGGTAGCTGGATGTTCTGTTCTGCAAAGCGGTTCCATCGCTGTTCTTCAGCTCCTCGTCCCAGCGCCTCCGTGTGTACGAACCACTGCGCACCAGACTAGCTGCTGAATCCCTGAGAACCAGAAGCTACAATAGCACCACGGCTTCCACGCACACCACCAGGCACACACACTTAATGTGCCAGGGGTGTGTGTGTGTATGTACAACTTCCTTCAGTGTAGGCTTTGTAAGTGTCAAGAACGTTTAAGAAGGTAAAACGTTTACTTGTTTTAAAAAAAAATTGTATTTGTAGGATGAATATTAATATAGTCTACTAAGATTCTGATTAGTACATTAATTCTTAGATTCTTGTAATACAGTACTGGGTGACAGTATGAAATGGTACAAGCTCAATTTTCACTAGATCTTTAAAAACTGAGTCCTATATTGTACATAAAAGGGCTAATTCTGCACTAACGTGAAAATGTGTTCACCATTATAGCCCTAGTACAGTGTTTTTATTGTACAAACAGCAGAACTCCCTAAACAGTCTTTGTTTTCTTCCAGCCTATATTCTACTTACTTACTGTTTGTCTGAATAAACAAATTCCTTGAAGACTATCTTAGCCTATGAAAAGCAACCGGAATTTTCAATTTAATTAAAAAAAAAAATAAATAAAAATTGGGTGATATTCTGACTATACCTGAACTCTTAGCCATATATACAACAGTTTATATTGTATTATGAATTTCCATTTCTAATCCCTGCTCCAATGTGTACAGCAGCTGTGTAAGCCAACACACCATGCTCAGCGACATTTAGGCCTGCGAAATCACACTGCAGAACACAGCAGTGAACAGTAGGGGGGCTTTTCCAGCAATGCGCACACGCAGGCACACGCATTCGCAACTGCCTCTGTTACCTGTTCTCCTTCTCGTCCATGTCCGATGTGCTCGCGAGTCTCCGGGGGATGGTGGGAGCGACGTACGCCAAACGAGTTTTTTCTTTCTCCTGTGGGATGAAGAAAGAAGCGTTTATTCAGACTGCTGGTATCATCTACAGGCCATTACGATGCTGCCATCTGTAATGAACTACAATCACTAGTCGAGGATGCTAAGGTACTATTTCTATTTACACATAACTTGTACAAATGTTGTATTCATGTCTGTACTCTTTATGCAGTAGCTACATTTTGTATACTATACTATCTCATATTGTCTTATCCTTTGTATTTATCAAATTGAACTTACTTTTTTAAATTACTGTTTGAGTACTGGCTTTGAGTTACTAATCTGAATCCAAAACTATACCCTAGTCGAGTACCCATGTTCATTTCCCGCACGACAGAACCATTAGTTCTCCAGATGTTGGCCACGTGGCCACATGATTTCTCTTGTGACGCTAATGTTAACAGTAAATGCAAACAACAGTAGCAACAATGGAGAAGTTTCGTGTTCTGATTTACCTTATACAGCATTTGGTTTTATGTGAACAGCAATTCTGGTAAGCTACTGTTTATATAAAAGATGGCTGTTTGAGTTGTGAGGACATGACACATGATGTGAGAAATGCATGTGACCAAGCACCCTGTAGCAGGTTCAGTACGCTTGGAACTCTGCGAAGAAGGGTAACCAAATTTAGCACATATGGTATGGTATGATTAAGTAGTGAAAATGATAAAACTCATGATCACAGACCATATTGCACAGCCCACTGGAAAAAGGCCTTCAGCATACTCTGCTATACACCAGGGCTCCTAATTTCACAAATTTCAGCTTCACAAACCCCAACAACTGCAGTTAACAGCAGTTAACAACTTTCTCTGTCAACCCAAGTTTAAATACTGTAATTAATCCTCAAAATTGCGCAAATTAATACAAAATGTTTATGATGAACAGCCAAACGTGAACAGCTGAGCAGCTTATTCTCCAAAGAAGGAAAAAGAAATCATACTAGATACAAATACAAAAAGTAAAGTTTTTATAACAGTGAAAAGACTTCCATTAGTTGGCTTTTCCTGATTAGTCCAAAGGATGTTGTTAATGATCAGAAATCCCAAACTTGACCTACCCTGGAACAGGTTAGGCCTGCAGCATAATTTGCCATGGCGACACATCGTTAAAATGTGATCCACAAGTTATAGGGATAGACAGAGTTAAGCTTCACGTTGGCTGGCTATGAAAGAAATTTTGCTTTGCAAAATAGGCCTCAGGGTACTAGACACCAAAGAGCAATTCAGATCCATAGATGCCACATTAAAAAAAATAATAAATAAATAAAAAAGTTTACAGTATCCTGTTTTTAATATTACAAAAGTTTTCTTTAAGGCATTCAGCAGCAAATGAACATGTAAACCACTTTGTTTCAAGTTTGTCTGTTTTTATTGTGCTTTTTATTGACTTGGCCCTGACCCTCATGTTAAAAGTTCAGGTCAGTTTGCACACCGACCCAATGGCCTTTTCTTTTTAAAATAGGTGGTTCTTGGTGATGCTGAGTGAACCCTAAAAACACTCTCACATTAACACAGCAAATATGTTTTAAGTGAGCACTTTTAATGAGGTGGTTTCTGCCATGCTGTGCAGAGCTACGCTGCACAAGTTCACATTTATTTAACTCCCACTGTGCTGACCTTGAAACGCGTTGCCAATGACTGTATTTGTCATTGTGTTGTTGTAGCATATCAAAAAAACCCTTCCGTGATGACGTGGTTCAATCTTGCCGCTGTACAGGGTGGCGCACAACAAGGGTTTGCCGCAACAGTTTAAACGTCATATCTCTTTTGTGTTTAGTGGGGGAAAAAATGCTGTCTATTCTCTCCTCCTGCCCGTTCACTACCACTGCTGTAGGCATTACTAAACGCCAGCACTGTCCTCATCTAGTCCACATACGCCCACAGGGCCCACCGGACGTGGATATATTACTCCACTAGCCTATGCAATCCCTACTATAAACAATGCTGCTGCGCTGACCTTATCCTTGTCCTTGTTGTCCAGCGAGGATGACAGGCGGGGCGATGAAGCTGACCGCATCACTCCGGCTGTATCCTTGTCTTTCTGAGCCTCTTTAGCAGCACTGATCTCCGCCAGAGCTCCATAGCTGCCCGTCTTCCTCAGGCCCAGCCTCCAGGAGGCCGGAGACTCGTCTTTACGCTCCTCCTCTTTAGGGGACACCTGGGACACCTTACCAACAGGTACACTCACCTGAAGAGAGGGAAGGAGATGAAGAAAAGATAAAGCTTACAGGTGACCCATGACCTCAGAAAAGCCACAAAATGTCAAACGTATACACTGTTGCTTTTGCAGCTACAGTGCAAGTTCACAGAGAAGCCAGACTAAAGGCCCAGTCACACCAGCTTTTTGACAGTGAAATTCAAAAAATAATCAAGGGCTTCAGATTAAAGACGTCCTGCTGAAATGAAATTCCGTGAGCAAAACTTAAAAGGTGAATTTTGGTGAGCTTCTGTGATTATTTCATTTAGCAACAGCATGTGTGTTTTGGCTTAATTAAGCCCCAGTCATACTAACATTATAATAGCAAAACTTATAATAATTTGCAAAATTATAATAATTTCAATGGGAATCTTTAGCATCAAGGGTTTAATGGTGACAACATTCATTTGCAAAGAAGTTTATGTGCAAAACTTTGAGTTCTTGCAAAACTGTATTGTGTTCAATAGCAAAACTGCTAATAAGCTTGCAAAGGTGGTCATTCATATAGAAGCACTGGCAGCTTAGCATATTGCTACCCACAGTTAAAATGGCAACTCACAGCCATTTTATTAACTTATTTATTTTCATTTACAGACTTTTGTCATCATCAATCCTACGGCCCTGTCTTGGTCACAATTACATCTCAAGAACTCAAAAACTGCAAACTGCTAGTGTGACTGTGGCTTAATGACATAATTGGGAAAATCTTTGTATCTGAATTCGCAGCATTGGGGTAAAGGTAAAACTGTCATTGTCTACTCTGTATGGTAAAAAAAATAGGGTGGGGGCAGAAAGATAAAAGCAGGAGGGCAGCTGGAGAGGAAGTGCTGGTTTATCCATTCCCGAAAAACAAAAACAAAAACAACAAAAAAAAACACACACTTGATGACCTTCAGATAAAAATATTAAGAAAGGTATAGGAAACAAAAGCCTTCACATGCTTAAACAGCCCTAACATTCCAATACTGACTTAATAATAATAATTATAATAAAAATAATACAAATTTCTACAAAACTCTCAAAACTGAATTCTGTGTCTTATGGCAAGACAAACACATTTCACCACTTTATAGCGGTTAGTCTTAGTACATTAATATATCCGTTCAACCTGTTAGATCAAAGTTAAAGCTATAGTTCTGCAATAAAATCTAATCTTTACAGCTTTCCTCCCCTTACCACAAGTGCAGTCCATCAGCCAAGACATGTCTGGTGTCAGAAGTTTGCTTCTTTAGTTTTTCTGCTAGAGTCACAAGTCTAATGAAGCTGACTAGTAGCAGAAGCTTATAAGCATGGTGCTAACTGCATGCCTAAATCATCGTAGTGTCCTCAAACTGTGTTGAGTTGTTAAGTAATCTGAAATAGACCTTCTTACGTGGTTTCTGACAAACTGTTATCTATAAATACGAAGCAAACTTTAGACACCAAACATGTCTTGGCTGATATCTGGGGGTAAGGTGATGAAACTGTGTGAATGAGTTTGTCAGACTATTGCTTTAACTGTTACACATTTAGGCTAATCCTATTACTCAAACAGCGAGCACATCCTAGCATAATAAATACAGTTTTAGTGACGGGACGCACTCCACAGCCATGACTGACAACAACAGCACCATGCACTGAGCCAATGAGAGGAGAGGTTATGGTCTTGGATTAGGCAGTTTTCTGATTGGTTAGGCACATGGTCATGGGAGGGGTTTATACTGGTAGTTGGGTAGCTGGGTACTGAAAAAAAACACAAACGCTGGAACACACTGAAGCCTCACCATCGCTTTTTTGGGCACAAGAGAAATGCCAGTTTTTCGCAAGCCTTGACGCCACAATGCAGGACAGGCAGCTTCCCCCACAGGAATAAGGGCAGTAATAATATCAGACTAAAGCCATTCAGAACAAGAGCAAGAACGGAGAGAGAGACAGTGTGAGAGAGAGAAGAGAAGAGAAGAGAAGAGAAGAGAAGAGAAGAGAAGAGAAGAGGAGAAATAAATAGAGAAAATAAAGAGAATGGGAAAGAAAGAAAGACAATGAAAAGAAAGAGAAAAGAAAGGGAAAAGAAAGGGAAAAAAGAGACAAAAGACGAGACAGAAAGATAACAAAAGAGGTAAGAAAAAGAATGAAAAGAGAGTGAAGAAAAGAGAGAAAAAAGAAGAAACAGGGAGAAGAGTGAGAGAATGACAAAATAGGAAAGAGAGAACGAAAGAAAGAACGAAAGAAAGAAAGAAAGAAAGAAAGAAAAAGAAAGAGAAGATAAAGGGAAGAAAAAAGAAAAGGGGGAATGAAAGAGAAAGAAAAGAGGAAAGGAACAGACAAAAGAAGAGAATTAAAGAGAGAAAGAAAAAAGACGTACAAAGAAAGAAAAAGAGATAGAGAGTAGAAGAGAGAGGAAGAGAGAAAGCGAGTGAATGACAGAAACAAAGTAAAGAGTACATGGACACTTTATGGAACAGGAATGATAAAGAAAGAAAAAACTAAAAAGAGGAAAAAAAAAATCGCTCAGTCACACCTTATAAATAAAGAAAACTATACATGTATAAACAATTGAAGTGAATAAGAAAAGGCAATACATATTTCCTTTTTTTGCTGGGGTCTTAGTTAATGCTACTAATAAACTCCCTGTGCTCTGTGCAGCAGGTGAACAACAACATGCCATACTTGCAAAAAGCAAATCAACCAAACAGAGATTTGTCCTTGGAATTGAATTTGTACCCACCACATGTGCAACTCAACACAAAGATGGTTTAATTCCTGATATTTTGCATCACTGTAACGCACTGTATGGTATTTTATCACACCATATAGCACTGCATCATTGTACTGCATTGCATGGTACTGTATCACTGTATGATACTGTACTGTCCTGTATCATATTGTATTGTACTGTATTATATAATACTGTACTGGTGTATCACTGTACTGTATCACAGTGTACTGTACTACATCACTGTATCATAATGTATGTCTGTATCACTGTAGCATGACTGGCATGTTACCTTGTGGGCAACATGTTAAAAAAATTGAAAAATGAATTTTGCATATCGTGACACCCGTAGTTACGAGCCCAGCTGAATCAAATGTGCTTCTGCACGTCTGGAATGAAAACCTGCAGCTACATCACCCCTTTGTGGATAAGCCTGGACACCCCCGACTTAAAACAACAGGCCATATCAAATTAAATCAATCCAAAAAACTGCAATGACTGTTGTCCCCACCCAAAACGGCAGGCTTACATAAAAAAAAAAAAATAAATAAATAAAAATAAAAAAAACATGGGGGGCTAAGAATGACTGGTCTAGACTTTTCTTAGTCTGTTGCAGTTGTCTCTCTCTCCTGTAGAGGGCAGCAAAGACAAAAAAAACAGACAGAGAGGGGGCCATTTTATCTCTTCTCCTCCACAGTGTGCATGCTGTACCAGTCGGACTCCCACACATACATATACACCTGCTTTCCTGGAAACCCACCACACGCTCCACCTATTTCTCCACTTTTCTCTGCCTCCACTGAATGTGTCCCCCTTGACCTCAAAGCTCATGCAGCGCTAACTAAACCTTAAAAATGGCTAAAATCACTATACGCGTTCACTGCAGGCACCAAAGACTACAGATGTTACAGATAAGAGTTCAAGACTTCAATTTAAATCAAGGTCAAATTTTAAAGTGCTTAAAAAAATGCCCCTTCACTTTATACTGGAGAAATGTACAGAAGGAGATTTAGACGGCACACTCAGAAACAGATGCTTACCTTTTTGACAGGTGAGGTGGGGGTTGTCACCTGGTTGGTGGGGCTGGTGGGGGATGAGACAGTGATGCTTGTGGGAGTGGGGACTGGGGTGGGTGCTGTGCTGTTAGAGGTGGAATTACTGACTGGAGCAGATGACTTGGTCTTGTCTGAAAAAAGAAAAGGAAAGAAAAAGGCTGATATAGCAAACAGTGGTCCCTCGTTCCAGTCCAGGAAATCCCATCTTCCGCACATTTCTGCGCCACAAATAAACAGAGACAACACGACGTACAAGCAGTGCAGACCACTCAAACTATGGCCTGTTTTGGTACGTTAGTCACATTTCAAATGAAAATGAAAGTGCACCAGACCCACGATCGCCTCCTGCTGCCCAGTCAGCTGCATTTGAAATAGTCCACTTTGTTTTCAAGGCAGCAGACACAAAAGAACGGCCGGCATTTTTGGGTTCAGGGTTACCCCAACATGGACGTGTGGTTTCCTCTCGTACTATGTAAGAATCCACCTGACCTAATCAGCTGCATCAGAAAAGGCCACGGTCTCGGGGCCTTGAGTGAAAAACAAGCCATGGACCAGCTGGTACTGAGGCATGAACGACTGTAATATTTTCCAAATTCTAGCAGTGTCTGATTGTCGGAAGCGTGAACAAACTGAACACACATATGAGATAAATGATTTGAGAAATTCAACAAAGCTGAAGTTGGCTTCTTACTCAAATTTCTGGTTTCACCTTAAATGGTGCAGCAGTTACATTTAGGCACCTGAACAGCTGCCAGAATGGAATTGCTGCTACTTTTAAGGTGGAATAGAAAATTCAAACAAAAATCTGGCGAACAAGAGGCCAAATTAAGCATCAAACAACATTTAGCATTCAACATTTGACATTCTGGCAAACCTGTGGAGATGTTAGTGTTACAAAACACTACTTTGCACAACAAAAAAAAAAATAGGTTCACTTTGACTGTTTAAAATTATTCTATTTAAAATGTGAAAGGGCATCCTAGAATAATAAGCCACTCTTGACCTACAAAAAAAAATATATATACACACACACACACACACACACACACACACACACACACACACACACACACACACACACACGTGTTGATAGGTACCAAAAACCACACTAGCCTGCAGTCCACTTTTACAGCAGAAACAGATTAAAAATGTAGAGTGGTGGGTCTGAGCACTGCACGGAAACCCCTTGGCGTAACTCACCTGCTTCGTTCTCAGACTCGGAATCTTCCTCCTCCTCTTCCTCACTAGAGCAGCTGGACTCATCCTTCTTTCCTTCCTCTTCTTCATCCACCTTTTCTGGCTCCAGCGTCTCTATACGTGGAGCGTTCTTCTCTGGCTCTAGTAAAAGAGTCTCTTTGCTGAAACACAGACACACACAGCTGTAAATCACTACATTCATAAATTAAAAGGCATGTTGCTTGACCTTATTGAAAGACAAAGTCATATAGAAAGTAAATCAATTACGTTCAGACATCTTCCCCCAGCAAGCAGAAAAAAGCCATTTACCTCTTGACTGGTTTCACAGATTGATTATTGTCCCCAGTGGTCGTAGTTTCTATTAACGGAGACTTCTTAACGTCCTTCTTTTCACTCATAAGCTGCAAGAATAATCAGTGCATTAGGTATGTAAAGCTGAAAGCAAAGTGACAGACTGCCTTTAGCACTTAGGGGAAGAACAATGCTGAATTCAGTTAGGAAATAATTTGAAAACCTATAAAACTAATATCCAGAACCTTTTATTAAGCTAAATTAAAGCAGATATATAAATGCGTTTTTCAAATGAGTTATAGTTTTAACCTTTTCAACTCCTTGGAACCACCGGTGGTTCCAAAACGCTTATAGATGGGTAATGTAATTTTAAACCCTTATGATAAAAGAAGCTGAACTCACAATTTTTTTGTCTACTGAAAGTTGACCCATTTTTCCACAAATCTGGGCTATAAACTATAAACAGATGGCGTCTCTTCAGTGATATACTCTGTAAACATTATTTTTATAAAATAATACAGAGAGCATCTAAGATTTTTGGCTTTCAGCAGCAAATTACATAGCAATATGTGTATAATCATAAAACACATTTTCTGTTAATTTGACAGGAGCTTTAACAATAAATAAATGAATAAATATAGTTATTTCATGCAGTTACTGAATACTGCCTTACGATTTGGTCATGTAAATTCAGATGGACAGACCAAAATATACCCTGGTTAACAAGTAGTTAAGGATATAAAAAAGTTAAGCATACATTGTTGCTGTCCAAAGAAAACCATGTATCTCCATTTCACTTATTTTTTATTATTTCTTTTTTTTTGATGGTGCATACAGTCTACTTTCACTTTAAAAGGGCAAGTATGGATCGCCAGCTATCAATTCCTGAAAGAAGCAAAACTTACCAGATTCTGTTTCTTTTGCAGCTCTTCTAAATAGCCCAAGACATCTTCATCAGCTACATCAAACGCTGTTTGACCCTAAAGACAAAAATCCTCATGAGTCATTAAATAAAAAAACTGATATGAACTCTGGGCTCACTACTTATATCCATTATCATGCACATATCTGCTGATGCCGAAACACAAACCTTTATATAATGCAGAAATTGTAACTAGACCAGGATTAGCGTTACAGAGAAAAATAATATTTATTTCTGTAAATCTACAAATGTATTAAAATAAACAATGTATATACTGTAGTGCAGTAGTCCAGCATCACATTCTGCTCTTCTGGAGTTCAAAAAATACACATTCAAATACTGGTCAAATCTAAACATCTATCTGATGTCGCAATTATTAATCCCTAATGTTACACACTGATTTTCAGACAATTACTTCAAAACAATAGAGATCTAACTGTGGCCATGAGAGACAGGCACTCCTGCACTAAAATGCAAAAAAAAAAAAAACTCATCGTTGTGTTTCGGTAGTGATCTGAAAATGTGGGACATTTTTTCAACAACTTTTTTAATATATATATATATATATATATATATATATATATATATATATTTAAAAGTTAAACTCATGATAAATCTACATCTTTTAACTTCACTTTAAAAGATCAAAAAAGTTCTTAAAAAGTACCAAGGAAATACTAAACAAATAAAAAAAAAATTAAGTATTACTTTCACAAGCTGAAATTTAAGGATTGTTTGTGACCCCTCTCAATAGAAAATACCCTATGAACAATGATTTTGTACATATTTAGCCTATTACTGTCTTAATTACCGCTTTTAATTTGTAAATTGTCTAAGTTTGAAATAATTAGTTTGAATGATCCGTATTGTGTTTTTATTGGCAAAAACAAAATTACTGCCCTGATAAACAGTTCTAAACCCGGTACTGTAGGTCAGAAATTTTATCAGATACATACCACTTTGTTGACGATGTCCATGTCGCACATGTTCTCCACCAGAATCCTACAGGCTTCTTCTTTACCCCAGTGAGCAGCAGCATGGAGCGGCGTCCAGCCATCATAATCTTTAATATTTACATCATACCCTGCCTGGATTAAAAGCCTGAAAAACAGCCAAAGCCACAAAAACAGCACCATCAGATTAAACAAATCAGGGCTTCCTCGGATTTGATGATGCAATCTAATCTTAGCCTCTAATAAAGAGGATGCAGTGCAGCATTCACTAACTAGAAAACTCAGAAAGCAAGCAAAAAAAGTTTCTGTTTTATTGCTGAAATCAATAAAATTTTTTAAATGTATAAAAAAAAATTAGACCTATGATTTTATTCACCATAACATAAAACGTCTAAGTAAGGCTGAAAGATTAATCATTTTATATTGAAACTGCAATCTGACAGAGTGCAATTTTCAAATCAAGAGAGCTGCAATTTTAATTACAGCCTATAATATTGACAGGTTTTAAGCAACCAAACACCCATGTGCTGCGTACATCACAAGACAACCACAAGTAACAGGCACTGAGCCACACTATGTGCAGCATTCAAGCATCAAGCTAGAAAAAGTGGATTTTCTGGCATTCTTGGCCTACAAAACAGATTAACACAACACAGTGAGTCTTCTGCTATAACAGACTTGCAAAATGTGTAAATATATGTCCAAGAAGTATCTACACACCTCTTCTAATGAGCGAATTTAGCTACTTTAAGGTGTATTCATTGCTGTCACTGCTGTTAAATTACACATACACAGTTTGTATAATCTCTGTAGAAAAAACATTAACCAATTGAATGAGATGCTTGGGAGCAGCAGCACATAAGCAGCAGCCTAAGATCACCATTCCTAACGCCAAGCGTCACCTAGTGAGGTATAAAGCCCCCCAGCATTGGGCCGTAGAGCAGTGGAACTGCATCCTCTGGAGTGATGGAGCTCCATTCAGTACCTCCGTGATGAGTTAAAGTGGCGTTTATGACAGACAGAAGGGTGCGTCTGAACAGGACACAATCTTCCTGCTTACCACCTAAACAGGGCACTTTTACCAGCTCAGCATAATCTACACTGACTGAGACAAGCAGACAGCTTTAACAGCCAACTCTACACTAGAAGAATAACGCAAATAAGAGCCTGTATGCAGCCCTTTCTGCCCTTTAATGTTATAATGCAGGAGAAACACCAGGGTAGCCCTTTAGCTTGTTGATATTCCAAAAACTGCTAGACGAACAGCGCAAAGCAGTTGAAACTTACTTGACAACCTCCAGGTAGTCCTTTTAGCCCTTCAGTATTACTCTCTTTAAAAAGTCTGTATAAGCCTGCTGACACCATAATATCTGCTAGAAGCATGGCTAAAAGAAGGTGAAACCAAAATCTCTTTGCAATCATTTCAACCTTTTGATATACCTGCTAGAGCTACAGCTAGAAACAAGTAAAACTCACTTTAAAACCTCCGCGTAGCCCTTTGCGGCAGCAACATGCAGTGCAGTTCCTCCGGATTTGGCGTGTCGGACGTCGTTGATCTGGCCGCTGTTGAGCCACTGCCTGGCGTCCCGCAGCATAATCCGCTCCTCCTCCTTCCTGGCCGCTTCGATGTCCACTCCTGCAGTAAAAGCAAAGGGAGGGATGGGGACACAAGAGCCCGGGATTAGTGTCTGTACAACAATTTCAGTTGGACCGTTTAAGCATTTACTGTTTTGGGTGCTAGCACTGGAGCTAACAGGTAGCAGAAAGGAAAATTTAGTAGCACACAAAGGAGCACTTTAAATTTTTTTTTTAAATAATTGTATTATTCAAAAATAAGTTGTCTTCACAAAATAAATAAATAAAGCACAAATTTATTAAAATAAAATAAAAAATTATAATGATAATAAAGGATTCAGTAGACTATGTGCTGTACTGGAGCTTCATCTCAAAGAGACTTCTATATGTGGGTTCTGAACCTTGTTTATTAAGTGCTTTAAATCACTGAACAAACTTCAAGCTTCAAGATGGCATGTTTTTGGCAAGTCTGTAATGATTTAGGCATGCAGGTAGCCTGAGGCTAATTGGTGAGGTATGAGCTTCCTTTATTTATAAGCTACAATAGATTCATGGCTTCAGTGCTAAAACTAAACAAGCAAACAGGTCTAGGGTGGAGTATCTAACTTACCTTGCCATTCACTGCCATTTAAAAGTTTGGAATTACTTATGGATTTTTGTTTTATATACACAAGAACATTTACAATGTGGATTTAGCATGAGAATTACACTGGCTGATATTTTTGGTATCAGAAATGTTAGCTCTTTAAAATCAATGTCAGCCACAAAATTATTGGGGCCAAGTCAAAAAAGCAACGCACTGAATGGCTTTGATTAATAAGCAGCAGTGGTCAGTGACTGAGTTCAGTCCTTGTGTCTCTCCATACTATAGAACCGCACATGATGTCATTACAATGAGTGCTGTGTGGGTTCATAATGATCATCAGTTAGTGCGCTGTTGCACTGTGCCTGAAGTCCACCCCCACAAGCTTCCAAAAAAGGTTATGGGTGCTGTGTCTAACAGCATGCAGAGAGACTTAAACTGGTGGACACACGTAGACAGCATACATAATGACAGCCCACAACACAAACACTGATTTTCCACGCTATATGAATGATTATATGTGATTCTTGGAAAGCATTCATAGAAACTATCACAGTGGGGAAGGCACACAAATCTTCAAGAGAGCAAGACCTGGCACTGAAGCAACAGTGAACAAATAAGTGGTAGAAAGGATTGAAAGATGGATGGATGGATTAGGCCAAAAGTATGTGGACATCCTTCCTACTTATTGAGTTCATCCACACAAATTGCTAACAGGTGCATAAAATCAAACACACACGTTGGCAGCAGAATCTAGCAGATGCCAGGGGAACACTTCCTACTGCAATGCATATGGCCAACGTTAAAGTTTGGTGGAGGAGGAATAATGGTCTAGGGCTTTTTTTCAGGGTTTGGGCTCAGTCCCTTAAATCCAGTGAAGGGTAATGTTATTGCTACAGACATTTTAGACAATTATACGCTTCTAACTTTATAGCAAGAGTTTGGGAAAGGCCCTTTCCCATTTCCAGCATGACTGTGCCCCTGTGCACAAAGCAAGCTCCATAAAGACATGGTTTCCCAAGTCTGGTGCAGAGGAACTCCATTGGATCCCTGACCTCAAAACAACTTTGGGATGAACTGAAACATGACTGCGAGCCAGGCCTTCTATCACAGACACACAGCAAAGTCTTCTGGAAAGCCTTTCCAGAAGAGTGGAGCTGTTATAGCCACAAAGGAGGCAACTCTACTGCCTATGGTTTTGAAATGGGATGTCCAACAAGCTCATATAGGTGTGATGGCCAGGTTTCCACATACTTTTGGACATGCCAGGGGAACCCCATTGGGAAGATAAACTATGCCATCTGCTGGAAGTGTTCAAAACATTTTAAACTGCGATTCATGTGACCACAGGGAAAATTTAATAATGGATTAACGATCATTAAAAGCTGGATTCTTTGCTAAACACTCACTCAGAGACAATACAAGCGCAGCAGCTACAAATACAACACAAAAACCATGAAGACTAAAATATAATTCAACTACAAAACCCATGGTTTTGTGAGATGTGCGGTAGTGACATCAGCATGCTACAGTCTGTAGATCACTTTGGGGAAACACTTGCAAAAACTGTACTTCTGTCTGCGATGTCTCTCCCTGAAGGTTCTCTGAGGAACATGTTTTGGCTATAAAAAGATTAACCGAACTCCATAAGCTCAAAGAACAGTAACCAAGCACAAATCCGGTGAGAGAATTTGTCGTTTCACAACATTACAGGATGGAACGCTCTTAGTGCACAAGATACAGGTTTAACATATCTTCCAGACATGCAAATCAGTCTATTTTAAAAGATATCACCCATGAGCTAGTGTCTGCTACTGCTGCTGCATTCTGAAACAAAACTCTACTGGCATTAAAAACTCCGATCACAGACTGAGTAACTCATGTTAAAGTGACAGTCTGGTTTAAAAATAAATAAATAAATAAAAAGTAAACAGTTCCCCTTTTTCTCAAAAGCAGATCAGCCAACCCAGGTCTGGTGTCTGAAATTAACTTCTCTAGTTTTGCACTTGAGCTACAACGCTAATACAGCTAACAAGTAACAGAAGCTTGAATGCATGCACAACATGCTGCTCTCCATAAAAATCGACACACAGATCGACTTTCAGAAGGCTGCTTTCTGAATTCAGTGTTTTGTGAACTCAATCATACTCATGTTATAGAGTGTTATAAGAGTGTTTCAGTCTGGACTGTTTTTTTGAATATGAAATAGTAAAGAACAGCCAATCAGAATCAGAACAGAGCTCATTCACATACATTAGTCTTAAGGGCACAGTAACAGCCTACTGCATTTGATGGGATGAAGAGAGGTTTGAAAATGATTATGTAAAAATGATTATGACCGTTTTTGATACATAAACATCTTCACATCAGGAAAAAAAGAATAGTAATATGTAGGACATCTTGGCCTCATCTATATGTATGAATTTTTCATCTGTGTATGAAATGTTATATAAATAAACCTGCCTTGTCCATCAGCTGGTGTAACTACAGCTGCTTTCATTATTCCTGGAGTCTATATGAATAGATCTAAAGCTGTCAGAAATAGTAACGTGTGGTATCGCGTGCTGCGCCCACTTTACCCCCCAGCCAGACCCCGTCAGTCAGCCCCCCTCTCAAAATCTGGCAGCTGTCATTAGCCGGAGTGCTGTGGATTCCTCTGGGGGGCGTCGGCTGATCCAGAGCAGTTACGTAATGTTCTTTATAAAGGTGGGGAGAATGCTACCATGCAGCAGAACAGAGCAATTATCACCAAATCATGCTGTATATTACACCCTGTGGAGTAGGGGTGATGAATGATCAGTTATGACCATCGCAAACAAAACAAACTCTGACCATCACAGCACCTACACACCAAGACACAGAATACTTTTTCTCAGAGAGCATAACAGGACACACAACACCTAACTGGACTAGAGACCAGGGCCCGTATTACAGAAACTTTTTGTCTTAAGTTAAGATCTGACAGGTCAAGATAGCGTTTTTCACAAATTCGTATTACAGCCAGACAGCTAACATTGTAACTTCAGTAACAGTAGCTAAAGGTCAAACAAGACTAAAGGAAGACAAACTGGAAGTGAAGAATATTGTGACAGTGCTGCTTATTAAAGCGTTAGCGCTCCTCAGTTTCAGTTTCCCATATCCCTCCTAATAAACAGACACACCTTCAGCTCTGTCTCCTCATTATTCACTACCATTACTGTAATATTTTATCTGAGGAGTTTATCAACATTAACACACAAAGGTAATACGAGAGGATGGTGGATGTCGTGTCTGCAGTGTCTGGAATTTTTAAAAACCTGTTAGAAAAAAACCTCACAAGTCACAGCACCATTTTGTAGTAGGTAAATGTAACGTCATTATGCCAGGTACAGTGAACAGTGCTGCCTGTCACTGTATAAAACAATAGAAACGGACAGGTAAAACAGATGTTAAGATGCCTCTGATGTTGTCTTAAAAGTTAGGAAACTTTGAGGATGTTTCTGTAATACTGTTTTCTTATCTGGAGTTAATGGATAAGATTATGAACTTAAGAAGTGTAGTTCTCTAATAGCTTCCGTCCTAAATTTAGTCCTAACTGAAGTTGTCACTGTGACTAAATGGAAAAGATTCTCAGCTCAAGAAGATTCTGTAATATGGACCAAGAGATGCACCAAGATTAAATTCCAGGGTAGATTACGATAACCAACACAAGGCCCCAGACTCACATTTTTCAGAACCACCCTACAAAATATTATCAAAGTCCCAAAGTAAAAACTGATCGTTCAAATAATTAAACTGCTTTGCATACGTTACACTGTTATCTAGCATTTGGGTACTATCAGAGTATGGATTCCATAAATAAGTCCATAAATACATTTATGTTTTTATAATATATATGAGAGAATGTGTATTAAAAGCTCTGTAACTACATATGTGATGATTTAAAGAATAACTTTATTCCTTGTAATGAACTTCATTCTTGAAATGCTAAACAATTAACAGTAAATTCAGATTGTGTTCAGTTTTTCCTGCACTAACTCTTCAAACTGCTATATATTGATTCTTAGATGCATCGCGATGCGGACGTGAACGATTCTGAATCGATTCACAAATGTTAAAAAACGATTTTCTAAATTTTAATTGATAACAATGTTGATGGAACACAAAAAGCGGAACTTTGGCGTGCACACAACATTAAAAAGCTAGTGCAGGGGTCGCAACCCAAATGTTAATAAGAGTCCATTTTACCATCTTGGCTGTACATGTGTCTCAGTATGTGCTAATGTACTAGTGTAGGCTAAAATTATAACACAAACAAAAACACAGACTTACTTAGATTACTAGAAATCTAATTCTGATGTGGAGCCGCCAGTAAAAGAGCCGCAGGTTGCCTTCCAGTTCACTTGCCACATCACTTCAATTTGATTTAGTAATAAAAGATATTGGAAGTAAATTCATTATGGATCATTACAAATACTTTGCTTTAAAAGTTCCAAGTTGTCACACAGTGAGAAAAAAAGAAATCCTGTATAGAAAACAAGATGCATCAAGATGCATCGATAATCATTTTATAATCGCATCGCAGATCTGAATCGTAATCGAATACAATCGTGAGGTGCCTCGAGATTCCCACCCCTAACCAGTACTAACCTGAAATAGGTAGAAAGTAATTATAAACATTTAATTTATTATCATTATCGCTGCCTTTAGCATAAGCAAGATCATCATCATCCTCATCATCATGCCCTCGAACATAATTTGGTCCTGAATGGGTTGAACACTATGGCGCTATGAGGTATTGATGGCTAATCACTGTATAAAACAACAAGCACTCGTCAGTGACAAGTACTTTCATATGTACAAAGTAAAAATGTTACTTATTCTTTAATTGCTCATGTTTAAGGCAGAGCATGCTAAAAAAGAGAAGTGAACAGACACAATCATGATGCTAATATTACTTAGGAACTCCGACTGATGTGAAATTCGCATTATGCCTATAGTAGAAACTTCATTTAAAAAAATACACAAAGCAAACTGAAAGCGGTTTCTGGAGTAAACAATGCTATATTTAGAGTGGGCTAGCAAGTTCATGATTTTATGACCATGTTTTTACATGCAAATTAATCATCCCTGAAGAGTCCTAAACGGTTTAAACATCGCCCCGTACACTATTTTTTTCATCCCCGGATCATTGCTGATAATCACTCTATGTTTTATTAATTATATGTTTGTTAAGCTTTATAGAACGCTGGTAAAAAAATCAATTCAACCAAATGAAAAACTGTAACACAACTCAGTTTACATAATATCTACATTTAGAGTGAGTTATTCGTTCGACACATCCAGCGCAGTAACTGACCTTTGACAGTGACATAGATTTAGACAAACTATTGTTTGCAAAACTATCATGATGAAGAAAATCATCATAACAAAAATTCAAGAGTCTTAAATGTGAAAAACAAAGAAAAATGGCACTTTGCATAGTATCAGCACTTATTTAAAAACTGGCACTTATTATTATTAAACGTAAATTATTTATGATTATTAAATGTAATAAATGTTACATTTCTCTGTGAAGCCAATTAACATAGATGTCCCAGTTTCTCTGTTTTATGAATGTTCTGTATCGGCATAGGCAAATATGAAAATAGTCAGACACTGGCATTGGTCCATACTGGTAGTGGTACCACCACACTAACGTTACCATGGTGGTACATTTGTCGTTGTTTCCAACCTGACTATAAACATCAACTTCCTCAGTCCCATGTTGCAGAAGAGCTAGAGGATTTTATAAGCGAGAAGGCCCATTTTCCTGATCTCTGTGACTAGATGGCAACTGGTGTATCAAAGTTACATACTGTTAGTATTCTTACTGCAGGTCTAGTTTTCATGATGCTAATTAGTGTGGTATAAGCTTCCATTGTTTATTAGCAGCATTAGTCTTGAAGCTCCAGCACAAAGCTAAAGAAACAAACATGTCTTGGTCGACTACATTTTGGGGTAAATTAGATTTTCACCAGTGTATAGGTTAAAGTGGACCACATTTCTCATATTCAGAATGGGAAATCCAGGTTGTTTTTCAGCAGCTGGGGTGAGGGGTGAGATTAGAATGTGTGTACGTTGGGTTGCTAGTGTGTTTCAGCATCATTATTGAACCAGAGTGAGTGCACACAAGCTGGAGATGTGCCAAAACTTAGTCTCATATGACTGAGGGAGAAAAGCAGAAAGCATACAGTCTCTCACTAATTCAGCTAATCGTTCTCAAATTACCTCACCTGCCTGTTTCCAACCTGACATAAGCATGTTTAAACTAGCTTAAAGCAACAGTGAAGAAAATTAAACATTTACACAACTCTCCCCCTTTTCATTCACTCCATTTCAGCCAAGACACGGTTGGTGTCTGAAGTTTGCTTCAGGTACAGTACTGTACAAATATCAGAGACCTTCATTTATTTCATTTACAGCCATAAGCACTACTTAATCATTTTTCTGAGGATATTTAATACAAGATAATCCATTTGATAAAAAAGAAGAAAGTCAAATGAAAATAAGTGAAAAATAGGAGTTTCCAAAACTGGAGCTCAAAAACTGATTAAAAGAAACAGAGAAAATGGGACCCCTAACAACCGTGCAAGATCTGATAGATCACCAAAACTGTTCACATCAGTTAACAGAACTTAAAGCTTTCATCTTTGAGAGATTTGAGAAAATCAAGCTCCACTCTTTCTTCAGATCTGAAAAAATCCACAGGAGTTTCTGTCTATCCTTCCGCTGTGACGAGACAACCCAGTCCTACGGGTCTAACAGAACGTGTAGCTGTCAAAAAGCTGTTACTGAGAAAAGAACATTTGCAAATCAAACAAAGAAGCTGCTGGTGTTCTAGGAGCAATGGACTGACCACCCCAGAGTCCAGAACCCAACATAACTGAATATGTTGGATTGTGAGAAGTAGAAAAGGCAACCAAAAAAACCCCGAAATGAATATAAAGAATGGACACAATAAATACTGAAAAAACTGATATTGTATTTAGTTGTTTAACTTTCTGTGTGACTGTCTGCGCAATACATGTTTACTGCTTTTTCCCGATGCTGTTAAATGAATACCTTGTACTTAATGGTCATTCTGACTAAACGAAATAAATGAAAGGTGGACTTTTACACAGCACTGTAAGAAACATATTTGCAGAAGTAGTTTTATTGAAGCCTGATTTTTGTCTGTGCTTTAGTCCATGTTTATAGATAAGTGCATTATACAGTGTCAGAAACCCTATAAGCAAGTCTATATGAGACTACTTAACAACTTACTAACTGGCTGTCATTCACTATTAGCAATGTGTGTTTTCTGGGATTGGATACTGCAGTATAATTATTTTGGGGTACTTTTTTTATGGTTGTACTGTTTACTACAAATTGGTTCCAAAGAGGAAGCAACTGTTAATGAACTGGGAATAAATAAGTAAATACACGTGAGGCAACATTACAGTATGTACAGTGAGCAGCTGTACCTTGCCGGTTGATTTCATTTTGCAGAAGCTCCTCCATGGCCTCTTCCTCTGCAATATCCAGTGGTGTCTCGCCTTCACTGTTCACCATGCCGACATTTGCTCCCTGACTGATCAGGTACCTGCAGGGATACGAAACACACAAATCACATCTGGACCATTTCAAAGCACTACCTAAACCCTCAATAATGATATGCTTGAAAAAGTATATTGTAACATAATGTGCTGTCATATATCTTAATAACCGTTGTAGTGCACCTCAAATAAATCCTATGGTCTGGCTTCATATTCTAAGCCCTGCCTGATTTGAGCTGGAACATATCAATACAGATTGCAGCGGTAACAAAACACCACTGGCTTAGCATCAACCAATATTATAGGCATATGCATTTCCATTCACATTTAGCTATAGCTTCAATTAACTCTTTCTTTTCTCTCTAAAGGTTTTACTACAGCTTTGCTCCCCCTATCTGGGATAGCTGTGACATCACTCAGCTCCTATAAGAGGACAGAGGCCCCTGTGCCCTCATTTCCATGGAATCAAGGGAGGTGTACACATTTATTAATCTTTTGCAACAACTCTCTCCAATGAGGTGTAATGTCTTAAACAGTCTGCACCATTTATGTGTAACTATATACATAAATACAATATAAAAATAAAAGAATTAAAAATGAGATGCTTGCCAACTATAAGCAAAAAAAAAAAATAAAAAAACAAAAAAAAACAGCAGGGTTGCTGCTTCTCTGCATCTGCAGTAGTGCTCCTGACTGTGGTGCAGAAAAATCAATAAAGGAAATGGGGCCTACTGCCTACACGACTTTTACATAATCTGTTTTAGAGGGTGGAGCCCGACACTAATAGAAGCCTAAACTCTTTGGAGAAATGAGCATCCTGAACCACTTCAGCTCAGCTCACTCTTTCACTTCAGCAACTGACTCATATGAACAGCAGCAGCAGAGACTGGCTGCTCCCGACATCCTAAAAGTGCTACATTAGTGCACTCTTCAGTCAGCGTCCTCTTAACTGGTCCTCCCTTTCTGAGACTCAGGCTGTAAACGATTAAGTCCAGATGGGGAAATGCATCGGGAAGCAACATCCTCTTTCCATTAAGTCTGACAAACCACAAAACATCCGTCATTCTTCAAAACCCCGCCCATTCCCTCTGAGTGACTGTTCACTCACCACCAGAAAGGCCTGAGAGCTCCTGCGCTCTGGACCGAAGCTCTGCCAGGCCTGTTCTGGGTCAGTTTTACAAGTGTGGTGGGTTGTGGTTGAAGCCCACCCTGACTCAGGCCTGTTTCACACATGCAAAGTCTGCGTGGCATGAGCGACGCGGTAGCGTGACTACTACAGCATATGTCCTGTGGAGCGGTGCAGCAAGACAGCTATATAGACACAATAGTCAAATACATAGTTCAAATCTGTCACTTTGCTCATTTAAAAAAAAATTATTTGTAAAGAGTACAGGACATTTGTTTACTCTCAGCAGCATTCTGACTTGCGATTGGGCGATGGCTTCAAGACTGGTTGTTGTATCAGGAAATCTGTATGCAGCACAGAATGTTTTTTTTCTTTTTTCCTGTTTATTTTTGTGAAACTGCTGACCTACTGAATGAAAATCACCATGTTATGTAAAAATAAATAAATATATAAATAAAAACAGCATTCTTGTCATATTTAATCTATGCCCATCATCAAAATGGCACAATATATTTTATCCAGTTTATAGCTAAGGACTTGTATGTGCGTCCACACTTTAGTTTCTACTACACAACTAACATGTTCTACAGCAGTTCTCAGACAATCTACAGATATTACTGACTGAGTCATTTACTTAGTCATATTCAATCTTTATCATATTTTGAGATTAAAAACAATAATAATTCTAGGGTTCAACTGGTTAAGTTCTATAGTAATAATGCCTCAGTATAAAGTTTGACAAAGTTCTAGAGTCTGTTGGGTTAATGCACAAATCAACTGCTCCATAGATGGACCGAAGAGGGAAATAACAGGAATCAACTATTTAAAAAAAACATCTTTCAAACAGTTAACAGCTAATAGCAATATTCAAATGTCATGTACATAATGTCTACTGAAGGGGTAAACAGAATAAAGAAATAGTGATTAGGGGCTCCCCAGTGGCGAAACTACAATCCTCAGCAATGCCACAGCCCTCCGTAACCAGGAGCCCAAGAGAGCATAAACTGTCCTTACTCTCTGAGTGGGAGGGACGGCCCTCACTTGCCCACCTCTTAGCACAATACTAACGTCTGTTAGCATATATTCAGAATTGGCCGTTTGTGTTCTCCTCCAAGTGTGTTGAGCTGTCCAAAGATGCTGCTTTTGTAAATTTGATTTTTCACTAAACTATAGCTTTAACCAACAGCAGCTGCAATTAATTAATGCATGAAGACTGAGAAAAGAGCACAATCACTGTCTTGCACTGTCAAAACATTGCCAATCTCAAATTATTACCAATGCAAGGCTCCTGAAACATGACACACACACACACACACACACACACACACACACACACTAACAAACCAGGTCACAGTATTCCTGTTATCCAGGACAGGGTACACAAGAGAAGCCGTTCAGTTCGACTCCACGGCCTATTTAAACGTCCTGATAATATCTCACCCTGTTGCTGTGTTCTGAGCCTCTACACTCAAACAGAACCCCAGCATGAAATTCAATATCAATTACAGCAAAACTGCCAGGGAATGACACAAAAACACTGGAACTTTGCAAGCTGATAAAGATGCTTTAATGTTTTACACCTAAGGATGTGCATGGATTCTTGAGAATTTGGTTAACTGTTTGAGGCTCCAGCACTCAAATACTCAAATTTCTTGTCCACTGAGGAGACAAAACTGTGTGCAGAAGACAAGTTTTTACCCACATTCAACGTTGTACCAGTTAGCTGCAGCTTTAGCTCATTAACTCATCTGAAGAGGCAGCCTCTGTTAGGCCTAATTCACACATGCTACCTCTGTGTGACATGAGCGATGCAGCAGCATGAGCACTACAGCTCGAACGTGCTGGCCTTTCATACATACAACGTTTTAGCAGTGAGAAAGTTATACAGACATTTCTTTTTCCAGATGGATAAAACGGTCACACAGTCACTCTCAATAAAAATATAATTTATAAAAGTGCATGGTATATTTGGTTGTCCTGGACAGTATTCTGACTTTCAAGTTTCAAGCCTGGACTACCAACCAGGAAATCTGTTTGTAGCACAAAATGTTTAACTAGTATCTCATTATGAATTCATATTAATAGATATTAATTAATAAAATAAATAGCGTTTAAGTTTATATATAGTTTTCTGTGTCATTTCCATTCATTTTCATGGCTTTATTTTAGTGTATTTTGCTTTTTTGGAAAAAAATCAGCACTGTGTCTATTCTCGCTCAAGCCACTCAGAAGAAATGTGTGTGAACCAGGTCATTCAACTTATTCGACCTGAAAAACGACTGATTTCCTTTGGCTATTTTGCAAATTATACATCATGTTTCTAAATGAATTCATCTGTATTCTACTTAATTATGTCTATTTTAACTTTTTAGCCTTCTGAACCACCTAAAAAGGAGCATCACAGGGTTTAGAGTGCCTTCTTAGATGGGTCAACACAGGCCACTTTATCAGAAACCCCCTTGTAGCTCTTCCTTGATGCTCTACAGTCAGGGACTGTAGCTCATCTCTTAATGCATTGTTTGTGTTAGGCATCCTCTAGTGTCCTACATCAATGGTCAGTTTCTGACCACAGAGCCACTCTTAACTGGATATTTTTGGGTGGTGGCCACTCTCAGCCTAGCAGTGACACTGACGTGTGTAAAAACCCAAACACAGCAGCGCCTGATTCACTTGTACTAGCACCACATGCACTACCATGTCAGTGTCACTGCTGTGCTGAAAATGATCCACTACTCAACTAATATACGTAAAACAGCTGCCCTGTGGTTAAAAACTGACCAGTGATGAATGGAGTAGTGGGGGGCAGACAAACTGTGCAGAAACAAATGAGCTACAGTCTTTAATGTAAGCAATAAATATGGTGGGCCGGTAAGGTAGGTGTTTCTGATTTAATGGGCAATAAGTGTGGCTACAAGGTAAGTAGACCTAATAGTGTAGGGCAGAACACTGTGGGATTCTGAAGAAGCACCCCTGAAACCTTTCAAAGTGGTTATGGTACTTACTCTGCGATGTCCATGTAGCCACAGGAGGCAGCGGCATGGAGGGGAATCCAGCCTTCATTATCTGGCTGGTTGATGCAGGCGCCATGCTCCACCAGGAAGGTCACCATGTCAACGTTATCGTCAATGCAGGCCTGGAGAGACAGGAAGACAAAGAAAGGACAAGAGCATAAGCAGGGTGATAGAACCACTATAAAAAAAAAAAACATTTGCTCTACATCGATAGTACATATTTGAGATATTTTTGATAAAATGATTATGACGTTCTGTTCCAACAATCCGGTAATTGCTGCACAAGCTGTACCTTCAAATGTTGCAACTTCAGTACAATAGGTGGTGCTGTGTGCCTTTTACTCTCTAAAAGGGGGCAGAAGTCTAGCCTTTTACTCACAACAGCTCACATCAACAGGACAGTTAGCAGACTTATTTATTTTGTGTTGAAACAGGAAAATATAAAAATAAATACTTATTTTTTTTTAAAAGTCTGTAGTAGTAGTATGCAAACATTACTATACCATTTGTTCAAGTCCATATATGGAACCTAAGCTACAAAAACAGCTTGTTTTGAATTCACTGGCATGACCACCCATTCAGCTCAGTGCAATTTAGCCCTGTCTATTCACTGAAGTTATGAGGAGTGCCTGGACTGCTTTTTGAAAGAGGCGCATTACAAGGCAGCCGATCAGAAAGAAGCTCACGTGCAGATGAAACAGTCTTAAAGGCACAGTAATAAAGGACAAAAAGAGGTTGGGATTAAAAAAAAAAAAACATTGACAATAATTACAACTACCAACTGATACTGGAAAATGTATCATGGTAAGATTTTTGGCCATATTGACCAGCCCAGCAATACAGCTATCTGAACCCAGCAGTGCCACATCGTCACACAGAATGTTCTGTCCTGGTCATCGATGCTGTGACTGATGAAGTTCTGCCACTAGTTCGTGGGGATTCTCCAGTCTTGGCAGGCATGGGGGCTTTCCACACAGCAGAGAGACATAGCTGAGGTGTTTGGGATAACAGTGAAAAAAAGCCCTCTAAAAAAAGGGAGCGAGGGTGAGAGAGGCCCTTTTATAATGACAACACAATACAACAATAGTAATAGTGATTAGGAGTCTTAAAGAGATAGTTTGGTAACAAAAGATAAGTAAATAAAATTTAGTTGATCAGCGAATACACGTTTGGTGTCTGAAGTTTGCTCCTGTTGTTCTAGACAGGAGCCAAGAGGCTAATGTAGCTAACAAGTAAGAACTGCTACTAAGTTGCGCGGTGCTAACTGTATGCTTAAATCACCAAATACTAACCTGTAACCGTGCGGATTTGTTAAGTAATCTCAAACAGTCTTGCTTAACTGGTTCTAACACTGTATGGCACACTGTCATCTATAAATATGGACTAAAGTATGGTCAAAATTCAGCCTTCAAGATGCTGCTGCTGTTTTTAACTATCCTAATGTAGTTTAGTCAATCATTTGGCTGACCTTGTTCTTCTTTGGGCCTCCAACATATTTAAAAGTATTATGAACAGGGCTGTGAAGGTTTATTACAGAACTCAAGAGCTATCCAGAAACTCACTGTCATAAATACAAGAAGTTAAATACTGTCATAAATGTAAATTAACATATCAGAAGCTAAACTGTAGTAGGTGTTGCAGATATTACTGCAGAGGTCATGAAAGGTCACAAAAGGGTCAGAAAGAATGACTGCAGTCGAAAGAAACAGAAAACAAGAAAATCAAACAGACTACATTAAGTGGGAGATTAACTGAGAAACACTGTTAGCTTATGCTAGCAACTGGTTGCTAATCAAGTTTAGCCTTGAACACAAACTGCAGTTCTGTGTGTTCACTCCAACTCAAACCATGGTAAAAGTGCTAAAAGACAGGATTGAATGTTTGATATTACTAATAATCAATCGATCAATTCATCAATCAATTTTTTGGCCAGTCACTTTGGGGACCTTTAAAACATGCTCTATTTTTCCTTAGTTTTCGCTGAATGACTGCCATCATAACCTGCATCACTTTTACAGGGATGACTAAATAGCCTCAGGGTGATGGCTAAAGCGCACACACACTGCCCACACACACACCGCAGAAACCCCAACAGCATCTTGTTAATCGCTCTCATCTCAGGAAAAAAACACCTACAGAGACCGCCTGAGCGCATGAGGAAAAAGATGACAACATTCAGTGCAACATCGAACCCCTGGACAGAAACACAGTTTCATAAATACAAATATACTGCCTTAATATGGTTGAGTGGTTTGAGGATGTGCACTGTCATTCTGAGGTACTTCACCACTTACATTTAAGCAGAGTAAATATAAGTTACTTTCCCAGTGTTGACAAAATATGCATGAGGTGTCATACAGATGCTGCAGACCATTAAACGACTTAAGATCATTGCATTTGCATCTTTGTTGGCTCACAGACAAATCTTTTAGAATGGAAGTCAGCCAGTCCACCTAGAGCAGCACAGTGGCTTTATGATCGATGCTCTTTTTACATTTGGAAAAGATCAAATATGTAAGCTAAATACTGTATGCCTTGATGTTAGTGGGTGGCTAACGTATTAGCTTTATATTCCTACATTTAAGGTGGAAAGCTAGCTTTCATGCTCAAGCTAGCTCTTATAGTAGAATCCAGCAACAAGTCGGAGAAGAGAAGCAGTGTCTACACAAAAAACAACGGTGCAATAAACCTTCATAACAAGTACCATAAACAAATGTAGAAAAGCTGAAAAATCCTACGTGCTGGGAGTTTTGGCTGGGACGCGCAGTACTGGGAAAGCAGTCACTTTATGTGAGGGAGAAGAACACAAGCAGCTGACATGCACATACTGTCAACTCTGACTTGTACTTTGGCAGACTTGGGCCCTATCCCATTTCACCCCTTGCCCCTACCACTTAGCCCTACCCCTCCGTTCTGCACGTTCACACCTAAGGGGAGGGTGTCCAGATTTTTGTTGAGATAGAGGGGCATGGCGAAGTGTTAGGGCTACATGGCCCTCCAAACAGAGGTTTTTCAGAGGCACACTCCAAACAGAGTGTTACGAGAAAAAATCGGCAAGATGACACTCGAAAACAAGGGGTAGGTGTATTTGAGTATGAAGAGTGCAAATTAATATAAATATATAAATATATAAAAACACTCCCACTACAGAGAAAACACAATTTTTAGTATGTTCTCTTTACAAGATGTGTTACGTATTTTCAACAGGAAAATCAACAAATCATGTAAGTTAATCAGGGGAGCCCAAATTTTTGTGCTGAACCGTATGAAAAAATTATATCAGCCAATGTTAAGTTACCTAAAATTTTAGCCCCTTAAAATTTGTATCGGTTATCGGCTAAGTTATTAGTGAAAACATTATAAGATAAATCAGACCACATCAACTTTGAATCCTAAACAATAAGCAACAACAATGTCTCTCTGACTGTGACTAAGACAACATTATATTACGTAAAGTTTTACAAAAGGCCTTGGAGGAAGGTTGGCAGGTTGTTTCAAAGCGAGCCGCCACACGATCAGACCGTCACTGTCATTGTCAAAACAATTCAACTCACACATGCAAGGCATTCTGGGAGAACAATAAGAACAATACACAGAGACAGCCGACAGACTGATTTAGTACTTCAAAGTGAGAGAGAGAGAGAGAAAGAGAGAGAGAGAGAGAGAGAGAGAGAGAGAGAGAGAGAGAGAGAGAGAGAGAGAGAGAGCGAGCGAGAGAGAGAGAGAGAGAGAGACACAGAACCAAGTGAGACAGTGAGGCAGAGCCAGAGACAAAACAGAGAGCAAGTGCAAGAGAGAAATGCGGGAGAGTTAGAGAGACAGAACAGAAAAAGAGAGGAAAAAGTAGACGAGAAAGAGCAGGAGACTGGAGAGTGCGCAAAAGACAGAAAAAGAGACAATGGGGAAAGAAAGAAGAGAGAAAGACAGACTCTCCTATCTCTCTCTCCTTTCTTTTACCTTTCACTCTCTCTCTCTATCTTTCTCTTTAAACACTCTTCAGTTTTCTGTGTGTTGGCCTCTCAAACGCCTGCCTGTAAAACCTTTTGGTCTGGCCTCGAGTTGCTATGGCGATGTGGTCAACAGTCGAGGGAACGTCCACACACACACACACACACACACACACACACACACACACACACACACACACACACACACACACACACGGCAGTCTCACGTTCGGGGCACACGACCGGTTGGCTGGAATCTTTGCCCAAATTTGGGCTCTTTACAGTCCGGTGGCAAAAACGACCTGCAGGGACCAAACAGAGCTTATCGACATCCCAGAGAAAAGGAGCTACAGGTCCATTACAGACACCACTGAATATTACTTCTAGAATCAATTGTTACCATTGTCTAAGCTAAGAAGGTGTAAGTAAGAAAGACACTTCATAAATTAGACGTTTATTACTGCTATCCTGTAATTAATCTTTTGTTACGTGTTACTATGTTTCTCTCCCTTTGCCGCTGCTATTATTCAAAGTTCAGTAAGCAGCTCATGATTAGTGTTCCAACAATTATTCAATGATATAGATTCAGAAAAAATGCTGACATGTCAACACAATGTTTAGTTATAGCACTATAATGCTCTATAATGTTCATATGATCCACACAGTCATACTGAAAGATCGTAACACACTACAGGAAGTGTAGGGAGTGATATGACCGCTATTGTAACTGTTTGTTACCCTATTTAACCCCATTCTAAAAAATTAGCTCATGGCTAACGCTGAAACAGATACTACAAATTGTGCCTGGAATGTGAAGTGCAACATACTGCATCATGTATCCATTAAAACCGTAATAAACAAAACTGAAAGCTGTCCATCGGCATTTTCTGAATACAAAATGTTATTAGCTTTTCCTAATTGTGACCAGAGCCTCATTCCTTTAATATTCTCACATTTATTCTAACCAAGCTAGCAATGGCTTTGAATACTCATCCTGCACCACATCATCTCTTTGCTTTATAATGTCCAGAGAAGTGACAATGACAATCATTCAGCACGCAGCAGCAATGCTAGTCAACCAATAAACACTCAATTGCTGTACTGCTAGTCAACTAATCAGCACTCAATAGCTGTAATGCTAGCCAACCAATCAGCACTCAGTCACTGTCATGATA